TGGTCACCTATCAGGCCTCCGCAATGTGTTAGGCGTTCAATGTACAATGTAGACAAGATGACCACAAGAGGACATTGAACCAATCAGTGAAGAGGTGGAAGTTCACCCCACTATGGCCAGAGCAATACAAAACTACTCGTACCTAGTACTTGAGTGTGTTGTATCTTACCCAGTTGTTGTTTCTTGTACAACAGCTAACGCAACAGCCTGCAGTTTCTCATCTTTGCTCAGGTGCTCTTGAGTCTGAGTTCTGCGAGCTCTGCTCAAACTGTGGCCTCCAGCGTCAGTCCTACATCCTTCATGGCTCAACTGGGACCACAGCTGATCGCTCAAGGCCTTGATAGTCCCCTTGGCAGCAAAGTTTAATCCAAATCCTACTGACGTTCTCATTTGTCCCAGAGGCAAATTTGATTTGGGAGGCACCTACAGACATCTTAGAGACTCTAGAGGCTTTTCCAAAGTGGGACCGTAGCGAAAGTTTCACCTCCCCAAAAGGCCAAGGCAACATGCCATAAAATGCCTACTAGGAGCAGGGACGCTACTAGGGGCTCCTGGCATCGCTTCTAGGAGCAAGGACGCTGCTAGGGGCTCCTGGCATCGCTTCTACGAGCAAGGACGCTACTAGGGGCTCCTGGCCGTACTACTAGGAGCAATGTTCGCTACTAGTAACAAATGCCTAGCTTTTCTGCTTTCACCTCCCCAGATTCTCCGTTGGTCCCTGAGGTGAAGCAGTGTTGACAAGTTTGGCAGCTTGGCACCAAAGCATGAAACACATTGAATAGCCACCAGGTGTCTTTAAGCCGATTATTTATCCATATATATATATATACATACACACACCTCCATTTACTACTTTCAATCTCTCAGCAGAACTTCTTCTGCTCTTTTATGGATCCCTACATCAGGAGCCAATCGAACTATTGCAAGTACCGAGGTCCTGATCGATTTTTCCTCGGTTTCAATCAGCTCTGTGTTGGTGAACTCTCTTCCAAGCCTTTTGCCCTGGACCGGCTTCTTCAATGGCAGCAACATGTCATATCGGCAACTTGGCCTGAGCAGTTCTTTTTGTGGCCTGTTCCGCAAATTAGGGTGGAGGCTCCGGTGGAGGCCATCGCTTTGGGGTGGAGGCCGGTGGAGGCCTCGCTATTAGGTTCCTTTGCTTCCCCGAAGGTACGTGCCTGACAGTGACGGCAATGCCACCCGACGCCTGAGTGTGGACTCTTGGGAATCTGACAGGAGACTTGGGGATGCAGTTTGGGAGAAGGGGACATGTGAGCTGCCTATAGTGTGAGGCGCAAGGTGAAAGGTGAGGTTTCTTCGCAGCTTTGCTGCACAGTGCGATCATGTTAACCTAAAACCAGGCGATTTCTTTGTTTCAGGAATTGGTCAACTGGTTGCAACGGGAGCGGTGCTGTGCAGTTTATTCCTCTCCCAAATGGTTTTAGGGCTCGGTGCGGTTGACTCTTGTGGTTCAAGGAGATGGGCCTATCTGTGCAACCTGGAATATATCGGAAATGTGGCTTGAATAAAATGCCAGCAGTCTTTGTGCGCAGACTTGCGGCCGCGCTTGTCCGTCGATTGTTCCATGCAGTGGCCCTTGTCGTGCTTTGTGTGTTGACTGTGTCTACGAGTCTACTTCACACTATTTCAACTATCGATGAATCAACGACCCAGTCACCTATTGAGTCAGGTCACCGCTGGCGTCTCCAGCCTGGTGATCCCACCAGAAACGTCTTTGGAGAATTTCACGCACTTCGCCATTTTTGCCCGGAGTGCAGTGGTTGCCTGGCAGAATCAGGGTGGGGAGTTTTGGTGCCAATGGTGGCGCTCCGGGAAACCAGCTCCTCCTCTTCTGGCCAGTTTCCCCAAAAATCTAGGAATCATATGAATAGTGTGAGGGCTTTTTCAAGGAAGCTGCCCCCCTAAGGCTGGGGGAGCTTCCTTGAAGAAGCCCGAGCTTTCCTGCGCCCCAGCTACTACTAGCTCTGCTTACTAGTAGCTACTCTACTTACGACTTACTACTACTAGCCACTTAAGCTTCTTCACGGCCTACCCCCTGCATCATGGTAAGCTGTCGAAGTCTTCCAAGATTCATCGTATCATATTGTATCGACTGTTCGTGCAAGATTCATCGTCGTTGGTTCATGCCAAGGCTGAAGCGACCATCGCGGCCTCGTTGCTGATCGAAGACGCAGAGGCTTCTCGGCCGAGCTTGAAGAGCCTCAAGACCGGCTGAGTGAAATAGACGTGAAGATACGGGCAGCTGTCGCATGCTGTAGCTGCTGTCAGGCAGCTTTGTTGAATATAGACTAATATGATCTAATATGAAACTTTGACATATTATCCTACGTAGGATGATAAACTACTACATTGTAGGTTCAGAGAGCTGGGGCTGCTTTGGCACTCTGGGAGCTAAGGCCAGCGTATCCACAGTATTGATTCCAGACGAGGACTTGGATTTGGATGAGATTGGAGGCACAATCTCCTGGGCTTGCGTCTTAGAACTCGTGAACTCCAACTGGTTGTGAGAAAACTGATTTCGATTGATTTCAACAGTTGCACCAGCCCTGTTTTGTGTTTGTTGCTCAAGCTGAACAAGGTACTAGCAATAGGACCAGCTGGTGCTTGTATATTTTTCAGGAGAACTTCAGGTAGAGCAACCATGACGGCCAAAGACTGCTGGCTCAAGGATCATTTCCACTGAAAGACACGTTCGAGCAGGAAGCTGTTTGAAGCAAGGTCGAACCTGTTGGTGCCGGATTCGATCGTGTGGAGCATTACAACATTTACCTTTCGCTTTCGGCCGAGCACTCAGAGTGGCTTTGGCTTTTGACATCTTTTGGATGTGTCACAGGATGGTATAAGTATCAGTATAAGTATAAGGTTAGCAGCTCTTAGCATTGGCTACTTAGACCTACTTAGTTGGAGGCCATCCCTAGTAGGTTGGAGGCCATTGCCATTAAAATAGTAGCGTCCTTGCTCCTAGTAGTAAGGCCAGGAGCCCCCAGTAGCATCCTTGCTCCTAGTAGCGATGCTAGGAGCCCCTAGTAGCGTCCTTGCTCCTATTAGTAAGGCCAGGAGCCCCCAGTAGCCCCTAGTAGCGTCCTTGCTCCTAGTAGCGATGCTAGGAGCCCCTAGTAGCGTCCTTGCTCCTATTAGTAAACCAGGAGCCCCCAGTAGCGTCCTTGCTCCTAGTAGTAAGGCCAGGAGCCCCTAGTAGCGTCCTTGCTCCTATTAGTAAGGCCAGGAGCCCCCAGTAGCGTCCTTGCTCCTATTGAGCCCCCAGTAGCGTCCTTGCTCATTAGTAAGGCCAGGAGCCCCCAGTAGCGTCCTTGCTCCTAGTAGTAAGGCCAGGAGCCCCTAGTAGCGTCCTTGCTCCTAGTAGCGTCCTTGCTCCTAGTAGTAAGGCCAGGAGCCCCTAGTAGCGTCCTTGCTCCTAGTAGCGATGCTAGGAGCCCCTAGTAGCGTCCTTGCTCCTAGTGGCGATGCCAGGAGCTCCTAGTAGCGTCCTTGCTCCTAGTAGTAAGGCCAGGAGCCCCTAGTAGCGTCCTTGCTCCTAGTAGCGATGCTAGGAGCCCCTAGTAGCGTCCTTGCTCCTACTAGTAAGGCCAGGAGCCCCCAGTAGCGTCCTTGCTCCTAGTAGTAAGGCCAGGAGGCTGTAGTAGCGTCCTTGCTCCTAGTGGCGATGCCAGGAGCTCCTAGTAGCGTCCTCTATTCGCCTCTTTTCTTTAGCATAGTCCAGTTCCACTTGAGCTGTGCAGTGATGTGTGCCTCAGGCTGCCCGCCGCTCGGGCGATGCGCGGGTCGTTTCGATTCCGCGGGGTCAGAGCTCCGCCGATTTGGCCGCCGACACGGCAAAAGCCAACTTCGAGGTGGGGAGAAGCGGAGCAGAGCGAAGGATGACAGATTGGGATTCATTGAACTCGTTTTCAGATGCTTTATTTTTGGATTTTGTTTGGGTCTAAGTCGAAGTTGATTGCTCCAAACAATGCCAGGGCAAAAGATTGGGCAATGTGCAAGTTCCCTTCATGTTGGAATTAGGGTCAGGATGCAAACCTGTCAACTTCTGAGTCTTGAACCTGTCAACAAGGCGAGGCTAGTAGTAACAAGGGCATCGCTACTAGGAGCAAGGACGCTACTAGGGGCTCCTGCCCTAACTACTAGGAGCAAATAGCTACTATTAGTAGCGTCCTTGCTCCTAGTAGCGATACCCTTTGTTTGTAGTAGCTTCTTGTTCCGAGTAGTAAGGCCAGGAGCCCCTAGTGGCGTCCTTGCTCCTGTCAACCTGGCGAGGCCTTACTGGTTTCCACCGAGTCGATGCTAACTGAGCAGTCAACACCCGCCTTCGCACTCCTTTCTGACACCCACGCCCTCATCACCAACCTGTGCCCTGGCAAGACTCAGGAAACCTTCACACAGAATATGACATGGTCACAGAGTTGGTCACGGTTCAAGATGAATACTATCATCATAGCATCACAATTAGGCTTATATAACTTCTATTTGAAGGGAAGCAGACACACATGGTTTTCTTACATTGGAATGCTCCGCAGGATGTAGTAATAGGATGTGCACACAACCATCATCTCTTTAGATTCAAGCTAGACAGAGACTTAGGTCATTTGCAGACCAAGACTTGGACTTTGATGACATTGGCGGCACGCTTTCGTGGGTGGAGCCAGAAGACGATGGCTTTGTTCAGTCCTACTTCATTTACCAAGCCTTGCCGCTGGAGGAGAAACCCTAGTGTCGAAGTACCGAGTGTCGACCTGCAATTCGCTGTGTGTACTCAGCTTGCGCGTGTTTATGTTCACCAGCCCTTTGCCTGCAATGCCCAATCACCCAAAGAGAAGGACATGTGCAAGGATACTGTTCTTGACGAACTGGCCTGTATCGGTCTTTTGCTTTGATTTCGCTTTGTACTGTATTTATACTTTGGAAAGCAAACGTAATTTGTCTTTCAGATGAGCCAAACGGTCAAACTTCGCCTTGGTATGTTCAGGAGGCTATGCCACTGGGCCTTTGCGGATCTCCTCTAGTTGTGGACACACTGCTTAGCGGCAGCCTGCGGCTTACTATGCCTGGAGTCACTGCACAGGAGCTGGCAGTAGCAACTCGGTCCGCAATTGCGGTAACCACTGAAGTGAGACAAAGTGAGGCTTGAAGCATGCTCAATCAAGAAGAGGGGGGTGAAACATGATTGATAGAAGCGCAGTTAGTGGCCGGTTGAAGTTGGATGCTTAAAGGAAGCCACAAACTATCCACGCTGGAAAGCAAGAAGGCCAGTAGCTGGGTAGCTCCAGGGCCCAAGAAGCTAATGCTTGACCTTGTTTGTAGCAGCACAACCATGCCTTAGGCGATTCGAGCTGCCTTGTCACAGGCTCTGGACATGTCCAGATGACTTGTTTCGGTAGTTTGAATGACAGTCCTCTGATTTTTAGAACGTCTCAAACATGCTTACGTCACCAGCAACTAAGTTGAATTTCCGAAATTCTGCCAGTAGGAGCAGTTCAGTTCGAAGTATTTTGAGACAGCCGTTTGTTCCGTTTGTTTGTTTTCAGGCCCTGGGCATTCCTTTGACCAGCCTCTTCGTTACAGTCACACCCGTGTCTCTTCGGCGGCTAGCCGAAGAGCGACGTCTGAGTCAAAGCTGGCAGGTGACCTATCAGGCACACTCATTTGGGGCAGCCTGCTTTTACTTTTTTTGCCAGTGACACAAAACCGACCTGTTGTGTGATGAGGAATCTAGGTTGATCCGTGTACAGTGCATATATGGGCAGAATCGATGTGTTGTCCACGGGAAAGTCATTTACGTAAATGACTACAGCTACCAAAACAGCACTATATACATCACTGCTTTGGTCATGACATCTCACCTTTCATCGAGGCCTCCATCAGCAATTCATTGGCTGCCTCAGTTTCAGAGAAGAGCAATCTTTTCCACGCACAGCCAGCGAGCTTTGCAGTAGCTCAGCAGCAGAGTATCATCAGGTCTTGAAAGAAGTTGAACTTCCTGTTTGGTCACAGGGTGTAGGACATGCACAGATGGGGCTCTTCCCTGATTCTAGCCCAATGCCACAGATGATTTCCCAAGGTACATCTTTCCGTTCAACTTGTGACAATTGGCGTTGATCCTGCTGGACTTGTAATCGAGGAGCAACTTGCAGTTCTAGATTCGGCTTAGATTCCATCCACAGAAAGTTTTTGACCCACATCTCGTGAGGAGTTTTCACAAGTGGTGCCAGCCTCAGTCCAATCTGGGAAAGGCATTGATTCAGGAGCAAAACAACTCTGGTTCGTGCCAAAAAGAGCATGCCCAAAAAGTAAAACGACTGCAACCTAAGGAGATCATTTCACTCGTGACCAACAGTAACAAGACGTCTATGATGGACAACCTCACGAGCCTGGTCTGTTGTATTTTCCGCTTTTATGTCTCAGCATTGTAGCTTCTTGTTACTAGTAACGATGCCAGGAGCCAGGAGCCAGGAGCCCCTAGTAGCGTCCTTGCTCCTAGTAGCGATGCCCTTTGATACTAGTGGCGTTCTTGTTCCTAGTAGACTCAGCATCAAGGGATTTGAGAAAACAGCTTTCCGGACCTGAAAGGAGCGGAGAGATGAACATATCAGATTCCGAAGACAGTGATTCAAGGGTCTTGAGGAGTGCTGAATCCTTGGTCTGAGTCCGAATGGAATCATCTAGAACCTATAGTAGTCTGCATATGACAACTCCAGTTTCCGGACTGGACTCTTCATGCCAAACAAGGCGAGCTTTTTGGCATTGTGGTTACACAGCCATCGCAGCCAGGAGTGAAGATTCTGACTACTCTGACTTCGACAGTTCCAAGGCAGCATGCCGGTTGGACGTCATTCTTTTTGTTCGTGTGATGGTTTGATTTGGTCAAGAGATCTCCAGAGTTGCAAAATGGCATGTACCATATTTTTCTGTGTCAGCAGATCATCTTGAGTGTTTGGTTTGCTCATATCTTGAATGTGACTCGAAACTAGTGTCTATTTTCATTGTGTCCTTGGATTTCGAAAGACGCCCTTTAGCTTTTTGGTGCTGTGATTCTAGAGACTGTCTTTATTTTGCTTGGGAGTTCCTCATTTTGCCGGAAGGATATGCCTCGGCGGCTTTCATCTCAGGAGGTGAACCTTACCGCCTCGTGACAGAACGATCAGTGTTTCACATTGATCAACATCTATAGTCTATAATATACTAGGAGCAAGGACGCTACTAGGGGCTCCTGGCCGTGCTACTAGGAACAAGAAGCTACTAGGCTCCTGGCATCGGTACTAGGAGCAAGGACGCTACTCTGGACGAAAGCTCGAAATGGAGTCTCATCGGTGCTGTTTGAGGCCTGGTGTCGTGGAGCTCTTCTGGGGAACGTGTCAGCAGGACAGATCTCAGCCAGTGCACGCGGACTGCAGTTTTGGACATGTATTGCGAGAAAGGTTCTCCACTGTTTATTTGAATGGAGGCCATCGCTATTTGGTTGGAGGCCATTGCTAGGTTGGAGGCCATTGCTATTAAATAGCTTACATATTTGATGTTCTTTGTGTTCAGGCTTTGACATCTTTGACTCAGTTCCATGCGGAACAGTACCTTCGAAGCTGCAGGAAACAGTACCTTCGAAGTGCCACCAGACCTGCAGCTCTCTCCTTACAGTTCCTAGGCCGACCTAAGCTTGGACGCTACTAGGGGCTCCTGGCATCGCTTCTAGGAGCAAGAAGCTACTAGGGCTCCTGGCCTTACTACTAGGAGCAAGGACGCTACTAGGGGCTCCTGGAAGAATTCGTTTCCCACCCACATGGCTGCAAAAGAATCCAAGTACTTCATTGCTCCTTCATGTTGAGAGCACCCTCTCAGCTCCAGGTTACTTCGTGGTGTATGCGGCATCTGCCTTGCAAGAGCAGAGCACGCCAGCTTTTGTCAAGGCCACCAGGGTTGATTTGTTTAAACGGCTTGACAACGGCTTCAGCATCCTTTTGGTGCGCGTTGCGATTGTCTAAGACAAGAAAGTGGAGCGCGACAAAAGCGATGGGCTCCCTGAAGGTTGCAGACACCAGCGCTAGCGTTTCCGCCTTGCACTTTCAGGGCAAGGACACAGCCATTTTCTGCTTATTTGCTTGGTCGATGTGGTTGAAGCAGAGCATGAAGCGCAGGATCTGGATGTGGATCATTTGGGCGGAAATCTCACATGGCAACTCCCCTTGAATTTGGACTTCGTATCTTCGTGCCCTGGAGCAGTCTAGATGCATCACGCTGAAATGTACAGGGAAAAGAAGGTAAGGGCCCCTTATATTAGGGCCGCTTTTGAAGGGGGGCGTATGAAAGGGGCCTTTGCCTTTCTTTTTTAATCTCTTCATTTCAGAGAACAGTCAGAATAGCCACCACGGAACCTTGCCCCTTTGTGCGCTTCGTATATTGCCTTGCCAACTGCTGAAGAGTTCAAATAAGGAGGTATGTGTTGTAGCAGAGCCAACGCCGCAACAAGCCGTTAGATTTGTCAGCTTTTGACTTGCGCAGATATGTGGTCTACCTGGCAGAGAGCGCATTCGGTGCTCAACGCTCACAACTGGGGCAGGAGTTACCACCAGAGAGACGCTTCCAGGAGGCAACACAGAGGGGCCTTTTGCTTGACGGGAGCCAACTTCATGAACTGCAGCATTCCATGTGCAGCAGTGGACTCTCAAACAACATGTGGAAACTACCCATGCAATGTTTGTGTTGAAATGGACAATTTTGCAGCTGTAGATTTGTGGATGCTGAACCGCAATCCATGCTTTGCGTTTCATTCCACATGCAACAAATAGACAGGGAAACGTCGTGCAGGTGCCTCCTGACACACTTCGACTGTCCTTCAATCACTTTACTGTTTTTGCCAAGTCCCCCTTGGCAGAGCCTTGGCAGAAGCATGGATGTGCATGTAATTTTGCATGCCATTTGCCCCATCCGCAAGAATAGAGAATATTAAACTCGGTGAGATGGCAGTCCCTTCCCCGTTTGGACCTTTCCTTCTCGGACCTGAAGGAACAGACCACTCCGGCGTCCTTGGCTTTCTTCGATGAGTTGCTCGGCATCGCCTGAAAGCGCTTTTGAGGATCTCAAGCGGCACAAGACATTGGAGTTGATCTCATTGGGATTGGATTCAAGTTTCTGTGGAATACGCTCCGAGATGTTGAAGCAGAAAGCAGATCTGAGCAGGTCGATTGCATGTGATTGCGTCCCGACAGACCGTGGGTGAATTAGAGGCACCACGATCTACTTTTGCAGCTCACAGAAGTGAGGTTTGCCATGGCATCGAACATGAGCTTCACAGACCTCGATTTGGATGCCCTGGAGATCGGGGGCAATCTCAGCTGGTATCCGCCAGAAGATGCTAGCGAGGTCACGGAAACTTGTGCTGCACAGGCATAGCCATTAAAACCTACTACAGTATTTGGATCATTTTGGATCTATTTGGTAGCACTGAGTTGCACAATGTTGTAGCATGTTGTAATATATTCTTTTGTAGTGCTGGGCTTAACTTTATAGTCAATCCCCGACGGTCTTAAGAATTGCAATCGACCTTTGAGATTAACTCAGGATTATTTGATCTATCTCGCTGAAGATGCACAAGGAAGCAATCGGCAACTTGACACAAGCAAATTCATCATGTCATATCATGTAATACAGTCAAGTGAAGTGGCGAAGTCGCATCCGTTTTTAGTTTCCTTGTGGTTAGAGAGTTCTTAATATTATTTGGTGAGCAATTTTTGGAAGCTGTGGCTTATGTGGCTGTGGTTCACATGACATGAGCAGAAGTTCCCATGCGCAATGCACATCCCTAAATAACTTCAAGATGTATAGCCATGGCCTGAGTTTTTACACTAGACAAAAGAAATCAGCACGGAGTTGGTATTCAGAGTGACCTCCAGGTCCCTTGTGGGCGTTGTGCCAGTGGGAATTCACGACCTGGCCATTCCGGCAGAGACGCCATTGGCTTCTTTCACCCACCTGAGCCTTTGTCCAGCACGTCTCATCACATTCGATGTGTCCAGGAAAGTGCTTAAAATTAAATTAATAGCTTCTTGTTACTACTAGTAAGGCACCTGTTACTACTAGCGTGGCACTTGTTCCTAGTAGCTTTCTTTTTTTGTTCGCGGAGCTTTCATGTTGTGACACCTTATCACACTTGTGACACCTTATGTATTTGAGGGATTTTGAGGGATCGTGACCGGGTTCTCGATGGAGATTGGGAGCTCGCGAAACCATAGTGTGTTGCTCATCAACCTCTCATTTTGGAAGCATGTAATTTCGACAATTTCGACATGTTTTGAAATCAAAAATCCCACTTCATCATTTTGCTGCTGCGCAGGAAGCCGTGACGACAAGTTGGTGTTTTCATATCATTGCTGCAACAAATAGAATCATTGTGGCTTCATTCATTCATGTTGTCATGTTTGACGCTGATGATGGATGCAATGTCAGGACAGTGTTTGCCAGATCATCTCTGTCGGAGCAGACAACCCCCATGAGCCTGCCCATTGTGGACAGCGTCGCCAGCGTCACATGTCACGAATTTGTTAGGTTCAAGGTGACATCAGGCGAACTGACTCGCACCTCAAAACTCAAGATCTGTTGATATTTGTTGTATTTTCTTGATGCCTCGTGCCTTCCTTCATCGTCAGTTTGTGTTGGGCCCAGAAACAGGCCAAGAATTGATTAGTGTTTATTCGCAGTGCCTCAAACGGATGCATCTCAAGTCTGAGGTCTCTGAAGTAAACTTCACTGATCTCGACCTGGATGCCGGAGATCTTGGTGGCGCACTAGCCGCTCGGCATGGAACGTTTGCATCTAGTAGCGAACCTTGTTACTACTAGTAAGGCACCTGTTACTACTAGCGTGGCACTTGTTCCTAGTAGCTTCTTGTTACTACTAGTAAGGCACCTGTTACTACTAGCGTGGCACCTGTTCCTAGAAGATGCTTTTCAGAACGATTTCTTCAACTCACATTCTTAATAAGATCTATTTTGAATGCACTTGCCAAGGTGTGGACCTTGCCTAGCAGCGACTTCGAGTTTCTTTGCCCAAAAGCGATCGCACGCAAGATGCCCTCCAATTCCATCATACGAGATCCAGTTTACAAGTGGGACATAGTGAGAGTTCACATGCCCATGGCCTTTGCAGTTTGAACCGGCTTTTCAGATTGGCATCAATTTCAATCTAGTCCGTAGCAACAGTCCTGGCATGGACCACAGATCTCATTTGTGGGATTTCCGTGTGGACGTGGACTCAATTTTGGACAGAATGGCTACATGATTGCATCATGCTACATTCAGGTTGGTGGACTCCTATCTCCTGTACTTTGCCACAGGCACCTTGGGTGAATTCTCTCCCAAGCAACATGCAAAAAGTATCGAACAGTCGGGGACATTGACATGGCCTTTAAGATTTGCTTAGAATCTTAGAAGCTTGTGTTTCAGCATTGGCCACAGCTGGACATAGGCATCGATGGAAGTGGTCGCTCCCTCTTGGGCACAGTGGGCCCGGAACGTGGCTTCCTGACGCTGCCTGTGGACACACCACTCCAAGGATTCACGCATTTGAAGCTCGGTGACAAGTACTGTACCGATTGCCTTCCACAGGCACTAGATGGCACTAGAATCAACTGGAACAGCTGTTTTGGAATGGACATTAGGAGACTCAGGAATCATCGGTTTCATTTCTATTGCTACTACACTGACAAGTCCCTGAAACGTCCACACGTTTGATTTTTAGCACCGCGTACCGCCCACTTGTCAAGACTGAGGCTTGTCTACACCAAGTCTTCCTTGGTCGAACAGCATCTGGGCCTGCATGTTAGCCAGTCCCAAAGCACAGGTTGAGAAGCGCTGCACCCACCAGTCTCTATATATCTCTTTTTGCAATGTGTGCGACATACATTGTCATTGATGGAAGGTCCTGAACTGAGTCCAACTATCTCTTGCCCTTTGGTAGTATGGAGGGTCATACGTGTGGCAGAAGAAATCCAGAATTGTAGGGCTTTAGGCAGTTCGACTCACCGATAAAGTACCCTTCTCCTGGTCTCCACGTCAAGAGCCTCACGGCCCGTTCCGAGGACAACCCCGGTGGGAACCGTGATATATGACTTGGGTGTTTCTGCCAGCAATTTGAGTGACTCTGATGCAAGCTGGCTGGGAAGTGAGTGGTGGCTGTTCTTATCAGTGCCAACAATATCCAGCGACTACAGTGTCCATTCTTGTCCGTATTTTGTTCTCCAATCCTTTGAGTGAACCGGATCTGGAATAGATCGGGCAAAGACTTCAAGTCACCGAGGTTTCCCCGACTTTGACCTCGACGCAACTGACCTGGGCGGAAATCTCACTTGGGCGGAGCCAGAAGAATTGGACCTGGTGAAGTCCTACAAGGCCAGGAAGTAGCGGATTTGTGCGGATTAGGAACAAGAAGCTACTAGGGGCTCCTGGCCATACTACTGTACTAGGAGCAAGGACGCTACTAGGGGCTCCTGGCATCGCTACTAGGAGCAAGGACGCTACTAGGAGCATAAGCGGATTTGTGCGGATTGTGTTCTCCCCTCAGATGACCAACCTTTCTTTCGACAGACTGGAAGCACTGTTGGCTGCCTTCAGGTCTATTTCGGTGTAGCACAAGATGAGTCCAACACATCAGATAGTGCAACTGAGTAGCATCAGGCTCATAGACATGCTCAAAATGCCAAAAAGGCAAATGATCCACCAAGAGGTACTGCTACTGTACAAAAGATTGTTTTAACATGTTGGGTTCCAATTTACATAACATGTTTCAAGGTCCATGTTCATGCTTCATGCAGCGTGAACAGCCGAGGCTATGGATTTCGCTGACCGGCAATTGCTTGGCGAGGTGTCTGTGGGTATCACAGAGCCCTGACTGGTGAGGCCAATTCAGCTTCAAGCAAGTCTCGGTTCCGCTTATCCGGTTTGGATCTGTTCAGAACAATGCAGAAAGTTGATAGAGATTCCTCAAAAGCCGTATCCTTTTGGACCATGGCAACCCAACTTGCCTTCCCAAGGAACTGGTGATTCCTCCTGAGACACCTTTGGAGAACTTCACTCACATCTTGATCTATCTAACATCTTCCCTGGCAGAGCAAACCACACCTGCAAGCAGCTTGTCTCAGGGTTTTCGAGGGGGGTGAAAACTGGCCGTTGAACATGTATATATATAGGTGTATATATTATATATTATATATATACTGTTTGTATATATATATATATGAGTCCTTTTCGTGCAGATGACAACTTCCGACCCATTGCTACCTGTCAGGATGTTGATGCACTTGAGCTAGTCCAAGGTGACGCTTTCGAAGCACCAAACATAAAACTAAACCATGAAACGCACCGAGTCTGAAGAAACACCAAGTCAGGCTTGCCAATCCTCGATGTGGCCGCAAGTGCGTCTCAAGTGAACTTTACAGATGAGGAGAAGCTTGCTGTCCACCAACAAAAATGAGCCACAACTGATTGCAGAGGTAGACGGGTTGCCTCGAAGCTTCAGGGTGTATACTTACTGTGTTACCTGTTGACGGCTCTTGCAGCAAGCTCTATTGAATCCGAGAAATATATGCTTTGCTCTTCCGGCTCTTCTGTGTAATTCGTAATTCCAATGGTGTTGGGGTGGTAAAATTAGCTTGACGTTTGCAGGACTTGGATGAGAGTGAACTTGGAGGTAACATCACCTGGTCAGAGCCCCACGACCACTATGGGCGTCTTCTTTTCTACAGAAACTTGGCGTTTTCAGAGATCTTGGCTTCGTCAAACCACGGTGTCAAAAGTTCCGCCATGTTTCCTCAATTTCCAACCTTGCATTCTGTTGGCCCAGGAGTATACTTCCAATCTGGCGCTTCCCGTGAGACGTTGGACGCGCCTTGGCCGACAGACACATCTTGTGACGTGGTATGTCATTAACATTGGATGGCCATGGGCCAACGGATAGCTTTCACTTTGTATTCTTGCCTGGTTTCCTGAGTATTTTGGCCGAGCCACCTGCACTCCAATGGCCGCACTCAGGAGGTTTTGCAAGGCACCACTGAAGTGGCTATTCCAGCTGAAACCCCGCAAAGCGCAGCTTGGTTTGCCGAAAAATATCCTGAGTCTTGCGCAGTACCAATCTCGAATTTCTCGCTAAGTAGCTTGTCACCATTCCTGGGTCACTACTAGCTTCAGCAAAATGGATGCATTTTGGCGACTTGCGCTCCAAAACCACATAAAACCACGACAGTAAGATTGAGCTCACTCAGTGCTTGAGAATCTAAGGGGTTTAGCCATGTGGCAATATACACGGTCTCTGCACTGATAGAGCAGACGACTCCATCGATGCTGCTGATTGAGGACACAGTGGCTAAGATCAATATTGTGTGCAGGCATTATGTCATCAATTAATTACTTACTTGTTTAGACTTCAACTTCAACGATATATTTTCTTTCTGTCTGTACTTCATTTTCCTTTGACACTATAAATCAAGGCGCGCAGTGTATTGTATTGTCAAGACTTGCGGTAGACCTCTGCACAAATAAGATGCGGCATCGACTGAGGTGGCACGCGTCAGCAACCTTAGCTTTGAAGCAACTCAACTGCGAAAAAATTAAAGGAATGAAAAAAGGTTTCATGAGTTTGATGTTAATTGATGTTAATGTTGAAATGTGGACAGTGATAGTGTCATGTAGCCAGTTCTTACCCCTACCCCTTGTTGAATCTGAATTTGTGTCCTTTGAATTTGAGGACCTGGACTTGGACGACAAAGAGTTGGGTGGCAACTTGACATGGCTTGAGCCGATCGATATGACGCAAGTCACATCTTATGCTGGAAACTCAGACTGACGTCAAGTGTCCCAAACCAATTCCCAAGTTTATGTTTTCCGAAATCTTGGACCTTTGCTTCCTCGTGTTGCAGTCTCCACCATGCCATGCCAAGGCCGTATACTTTGCTCTCTCTGCCAATGCACCTTGGCAGCTCACCAACCTGTTGTTGACCAAACAAGACATGACACTCCTGACATCATGTGGCCTTGTGGTCTTTGATGGTCTTTGAGCTGAGGAGTCGACTTGTGCAGGCGATGGCTTTCGGATGCGCACGTGAGAGACAATTGGCAGAGGAAGATGGATGAAACATGATGAAACCATATGAAACCACTTCTGCTTAGTCACTGCTTGGTGCATGAACGACTGTAGATCACTGTACTCAAACCTTATAGACGTGTATTACTGTATTACTGTATTATCCAAAATTTGGCCTATCATGCTAGTATGGGCAGAAACCCCTTTCGATGGCCTATCCTTCTGATTTGTGCCAGCAAATAGAAGCAAATGATACAACCTATTTCTTTCGTGTACAGGCGACGGTCCGTTGTTCGCTCGACAGTCAGCTTTGGTGCAGCCGCTCGGCGGGAGTGCGACTGCCACGGAGTTAGAGTTAGACGTGCTCATGCATTTGCAGTCATGATAATTCGCCCTTTCGGGTTTGGGTCCGCTTGCCTGAGCACCAGAATACCTTGCAGTGCGAGTGGTAGTTTCTTTGATATGCACTGTTCCTTTGGTTTCTCCCCTAAAAGCTCAGAAATGACCAGAGACGGAGAGAGCCTTTTTGTCATGAGGTCCTTTTGCCGTGGGAGCTTCTTTGCTGCGGCAGATGCGGGCGACTTGCTCATGGAAGTGCCACCAGAAACTGCCACAGGCGACACCGATCCGTACACCGATCCGATCGATGATTTGTCCTAAGCATGCTTTGAGACACATCTACGATCATCTACGGATTCTTTGGATTCTTGATATTTCCTGATTCTCGCCGATGCTAGCCCGTGATTGGTACAGTACTATCGCCACACGTTTGATCTCAGCTCATGGGAGGCGGTTTCAGTCACTTTTTGGTGTATGCTTCCTCTGCACTAGCGGAGCAGAGCACCCCTGCGTTCCTACAGATAGATGACCGACGTGCCATCGCAGCTAGGCCTGATTCCTTTGATTTAGTCGTTTGTCGGGCGAAAGGATTTGAGATAGAAGACCAAGTAGATAGTGGATGAATCAGCCCTGAAGAGAGGTGATCATGCCCTTGGAGCTTTGTGAGTTCTTTGGTTGAGTAGATTGTTTTACCTTCAGTGTCTTCATATTCTCTCAGCTGAGGCCTCATCAGTGAGCTTTGACGATTTCGATTTAGATCTTGGCGAACTGGGAGGGACGTTGAGTTCCTTGGGCTTTTGCATAGTGGTTCATCCGGCGATTGTGCTAGGGGAATCAAAGCGATTAGAAGGGGTAAGTAAGCTTCGAATACAGTTGAATCAAGAAGGCAAGAGGAAAGAAGAAGGTAAGGGTCTCTTCAAGAAGGTCTTACATGTTTATTTAATCTTTTTGTTTTGTTTTGATGTCTCATCATATTCTTAACCTTGGAATGGTCTTCAAGCATCGCGGCACCAAGGCTGGGTCCCTGCTTTCGACGTACACTTGATCACCATGTTCAATGTCTACTTAGCCACAGATGCCTTCGGCGCAGACAGGCATTTTAGCATTTAAGAGTGTGTGTTTGTATGATTTGTTCAACAATCTGAAACTTTCTTGTTTGTTATCAAATCATAGCATTGCTGCCTTTGACAGGGAGATGAAGCTGTCCAGCAGCAGCAGCAGTGTTGCCATTGTGCCTGACACTCCGCTGCGGTCACTTGGACACAGTTGACCCACTCTTTGGCCTAATTGCAAAAAGGACTTTAAGGAACCCAGTAGCAATGTCCTCCAACCAAATAGCAATTGCCTCCAACCTAATAGCGATGGCCTCCAACCTACTAGTCTATGTTGCAAGCACCCCTGAACCACCTTGGCCTTCAACTAGCTAGTGCCACCCTGATGCCTTGTGCCCAAGTGAGACCTTACCACATAGTTCGCCTCCGGGGGATTCTCAGCACCCTGTGCTTGGCTACTGTTACCATATGTCTCCCGTATTTTCCAAGCAGCGGCTGTAGCGAGCTTCGGTCGACTGGACGAAGCAACTTTCCTTTTTACCCATACCCATGGCCTCACTTTTTTGTTCAGCTCTAGAACTGCAGCTGTTTGTGGCGTTTTGCTCCCAAACTGTTGTGTTTCAATCAAAGAAAACGGAAACAACATCAATTGTCAGGATTAGGAACAAGAAGCTACTAGGGGCTCCTGGCCATACTACTAGGAGCAAGGACGCGACTAGGGGCTCCTGGCCTTACTACTAGGAGCAAAGGCTGCTGCATGGAGTCTGTCGGCCCTAGGAGCTTCACTCATTTGCTGATCTACGCAGCTTCCTCCCTGGTCGAGCAGTCTACCCCGGGCGCGTTGCTCTTGGCAGACACAAGTGCCACAGCAGAGAATTTGCATCTTGGAGCATAGTGGAGAAAGATGTTGGTATGAGCTGTTGCAGCCGGCAGTCGACGTGGTTTGGCCCATTTGCAGTGAACACAGTATTGCAGCAGCATTGACAATTGAATGGGACTTTAGCAACAGTTTTCATCAAGATAGATAGATAGATAGATACTTAGATACTTAGATAAAGACAAGAACGACAGACAGATAGTGGACAGAAAGAACATCCCTTAACAAGCTTGGGCAATCGTGATTGAACTCGCATTGCTGAAGTACTTTGATGAGATTGGGAGGATGGGAAGCACTTGTTACTAGTAGCTTCTTGATACTAGTAGAGATGCACTTGTTACTAGTAGGTGGGGAGGATGTAGGCTTTATTTTTGATCCTCATCTCAGTCCAGCCTTCTGTCAGGTCGCTGCCGGACTTTGACCTTGATGAGAAGGATTTGGGCGGTACATTAGCTCCTCGTCCCGATCGTCCGGAGTGGATAAAGAGTCGGGAAGTAACCCAGAATGCTAGGGGAGGCTGAAAAAGCAAGACTCTTCATGACATTTCAAGACTGTTGATTCATCACAGGAGTTTAACAATGTTTAAGCCGGTACCAAGATGTTTTTTCATCACTCAAAGGCGCGCATGAGTCAAGTCACTATTCCCCCGCTAGGCGTGGGACGAGCCCTTGGACACTACAAAGGCGGGCCGAAAGCAGTGAAGTGCAAAGAGCTTCATGTCAATGTGGGCATCGCTTTTCTTTGGTATCCAAGGCCTTTTGGTGTCTGTATAGTGGTTTGTAGCCCCGCAAGAAAAAACACAGTCCTTCGCATATACTAGTCCATAGTAATTTGATGCTTGTTCCATATTATAGACTCCGGGGGTAGGAGACGCAGGGGGCTAAGTAGGATCTTTTGGATGCCTTTGCATGTGTCTTTGGTCTTGTCTTTTGTAAATTACATTAAATAAAATATACCTGAAATGTTCACAATTAGATATATAGCTTTCCTTTTTTTGGTAGCCGTTGAGAGTTTTTCCCTTCCAGGTCACCCACTATGTGGTGTACTTTGTGAATGCAAACAACTCCAATGAGTCAGACACACGACGCTTGTCCGACTCTACATACACGACTCCAATGTGCAGCTGGTGATGGCTTTCCTATCCCCGGCGATGAAGTGAAAAAAAGCCGGACTCTGCCAGAGCAGTGCATGCACTCTACATCGTTTCCTTTTTTGGACGTCGTTTTGCTTCAGAGCCCAGGAGCATACTTCGACAATGTGTCCGTTGGAATTGACACGCTGACCATCCCAACTGATACTGCACTCACAGGCTGACAAGCGAAGAGCACAAGCTGAGTACATTCTCTGATAATCATTTTCTTGCACGCAAGATCCAAACACCATGAGATGACCTGAGCTTGAGACTTCTTGCGATGATCTACTTGGTTTTCAACGATGCTAAAAAGCATTCTATATTTACAAATGATGTATTGGCTCATCTGGTTGCATGTTGCCGCGTTGCCTTTTGTTTGTCCTTTTGCATCTATGACAAGCAGATTGAAACCATAGTAGGCTATGGGGGCCTTGTGGTCAGCACCCACGTGGCCATCTATACGCTGTCGACCCTGGTGGAGCAGACGACCCCTGCCATGTTGGAGATTGTCAATGCCATTGCTTCGGTTTCTGGGACCAGCTTCGTGGACAAGGTCCCGTCTCAACGTGTCATGATGGTGAATCCAATTTGGTTTCACTTGTTGTTTTGACCTCTGACCTTCCTTTTTTGCTCCTTGTCCTTGCTCCGCTTTCTTACTTCTAACATCGATGAAGATGCTTTACTAGGAGCAAGGACGCTACTAGGGGCTCCTGGCATCGCTACTAGGAGCAAAGACACTAGTGGCTCCTGGCATCGCTACACTAGGAGCAAAGACCCTACTAGGGGCTCCTGGGCTTGCTACTAGGAGCCAAGACGCTACTAGGGGCTCCTGCTTTGTGACTTTGGTGGCTTTGCTCCACGGTGCAGGACTTGGACGCATCGGATTTGGGTGGCCGAATCACTTGGCAAAACCCAGCAGATATCTCCAAGGCACAATCTGTTGTGGTTTAGGGTGTAGGGTTTAGGGCAGAATCAGCTGTAAGTCGTGTCCAGAATCTACTTTCCAAAGCAACAAGATCAATTCCACGCTCCTTGTCCGTAAAGCTGTACCTTTTGTCGAGAAAGGTAATTGCATATAACATCTACCTGGCAGAGGGCATGGATGGAACAAACCGCTCTCACAGCGGAAGCAGTGCTGGACAGGGGAACGGCGAAAGGGGTTGGATGAACAAGAAACGCAATTTATATGTGTTTTCGTGCGCAACTGCATGATTACTAATTACGACAAGCAGTGAGTGCTGCCTCATTATGAGGCACGTAAGTGTGGTTTTGAAGGTGTTCACACTGAGTTATATAAGGCTAGATAATCATGTGGAGTAGTTGGCAACCCATCAGCACAGGAGCCAACTTCCTGGACATCATACCTGATACGCCTTTGGAGTCCTTCTCGTATCAGAGAAGCATGTTAGCTCTGGAATTGCTTCAGCCCCAAGACACCCTTTGATTAAAGAAACACTCTTCAGTCGTCTAACCGCAGAAAAGTGTCTTGACTTGCTAATGTGGTGCTCGCGCCTAGGCATATTTTGGTCTACACCCAATCGTCTTTGGTCGAGCAGACTACTCCAAACACATTCCTCTTGAGCGATGCAGCCTCAACAGTATCCTTGTCGCATGGACTCAGTCTGAACTCAGACGCCGGCGTGAACAAATCAACCATGGGTATTGATGTCTAGTTTGATGACAAAGAGGCTTTAGGTTGGAGGCCATTGCTTGGCCCGAAACTTTCCACTTTCCCCAAGTGAAAGCTGAGGTGGACAACGTGAGTTTCCCTGATGAAGACTTGGACCGTGGGGATTTAGGTGGCATCTTGGAGTGGTCGCCTCCACTAGATATCTCTCAGGCCAAAGCCACACAGAGTGACAGAACCGTTTGTGTAGCTGCGTAGCAATCAGCATGGCCTGTCATGGCTTGGGATTTTTTGTGCATTGGCAGGTGACTCACTACATGGTATACTTTGGCAAGTCTATAGATTCACTTGATGATCCAGCCACTTGTGCCTTGGGCGGTCCTTTCCTGCAGAATCCAAGTGGTTCTGTCATCAACTAGATTGCTACCAAACACAGCAAGATGAACTTCCTGTAGCTTTGGTGGGGTGCGTCCGGTAGCAATAGCTTTGAACTGGCCTGTTGATTCACCAAGGTGTCACAGAATACCTTGTGAATGTCACAAACGACACGGTCCTATCCTCAATTGTGAGCTTCACAAGCCTCAAGCTTTCAAGGGCCTTGAGGGTGCTTGTGCAGTCTTTGATATTTGATATTTAATTGAAGTAAGCAAGTGGTTGCTCTTGATAAGCTCAGTAAGCAAGTGTTGCTTTCATTCGTCTCTGCCACAGCGATGCAGGTGTTGGTTGCAGTGATATCAGGGTCTCTTTCCTTTCAACTGGATGGCGCGACTGCCGCTTGGCAGAGAAGATCGGCGGGCCATGGGGCTTCCCAAAATGATCGGAGTTTCAATCCGAAGATGGTGAAGCTTCATGCAGAACCGGTGATGCTCCATGCTGTGCTCGGGCCGAAACCTTTATACGTGTTGGCCAATTTGTGACACCTGATGACACTTGATAGCAGTTTGGCACTGCTGCTTCGGATTCAGCAGCGCTCTAAGGTCTCGCAAGTGGAAGAGGCCGTCCGTCAGACCTTGAGCATGTCTCTGGGAGTGTCAGTCGGGTCCCTGACGGTAACTTGGTTTGGAGTCGACAGAGTGGGACAGAGTGGGACTGGCAGCGAGTCTTGTACTTGTGAGGGCAGTGGGCATGCTGCTTGGATAGATTATCGTTCTTACCCTGCCTCAAGGTATGGGTGCAAAGTGGTCGGCGCCTGATGGAAAGGCTGCGGCTGGGCAACAAGTTAGCCAGTGATGCAAGAGACTCCAAGGGTACTGATGCCGAAAACACACTGTGATACTGAGATGTGCCTCTGTGTGTTTTCCACTAATTAGTTGCTTCATTGGCAAGAAGGTAGGCATGGAAGTTGCCTTAATGCCATTTGTTCAAGCTCTGAGGCTGGCTGCAAGCTGGTCAGTGACCTATCAGGTGGTCGTGCCCGCCGCTTCCGCCAGCAGCGTCGTCATGGTGGCCAGTGGCTTTAGCATCGGCCTCAATCTGGGGTGTTTGGAGTGATGGCGTTGTACAGTAGATGCAGATTATTCGTTTCTTCAACAGCTCATTATTAATTATATACAGTAGATCTTTAATGATTTTATATCTCGTTGCTGTACATCAATTCGCTGTATGTCATTTGGGCCATGTGGATGATGGAGAGAGGTGGTACTGGCATTTGAGGCTCTGACCTCACTAGCTTTGCCACGCAGCTAGCGCCACAGCTGGTGTCTGCAGGACATCGGAAGAGACATGTGTCACCTGACTCACTTGGGACCAGAAGGATCTGGTCACATGTAAGTTGAAGCAGTTGGATGTCACACAGTTATTTTCACACGTGAAATTCAATGATGTCACATCAACATTGGCTGACTCCGATCTTTTTTGCGGTATCTAGTTGCCTTTAGAACCTTCGTCTCGACGTCGTGACAATCAGTCCTTTGGCCCTTTCTTGTATGTATGTTAGGGACATCATCTTCTCGACGCAAGATAGAGCTTACCCTATCAGTTGCCATATCATACCAGATCCTGAAATCATCCGAAATCAAAGAACCCCTGCCATGCCAGGAGTCAGCAGCAGCGCTGTGTCTGCCTCTTTAGTCGTTTTGCAGTTCTTAGAGGTCTCGGTGGAGGTGGGTAAGTTCATTTGCACTCAATGCACAGCGTGGAATAACGATGGACAAAGCCTTGGCAAAGCGGCACAAAACTGGAGACAGAATTGAACCTGAATAAATCAGCGAGTGGAGTTTAGCACATTTCTACGAACCCATCTACGCAAGGTTGCTTGGAGGTTTGGTTTGCGAAAAAGAGCATGCGTTCCTGTCATTTTTCAGGTTGTTAGCTCTGATGTGGTTCAAAGTCTCTTGGCTCAAGAGTGCTGTCAAGCCTTTTGTAGCAATGACATGCAAAACATCCCTGCAAGCCTTGATCGTGATTGATGTCAACAAACCACTTACCCGATTTTACTCTAACAAATATGTTGAACATGTTTGCGGGCCAATCAGTGTCTTTGACCGTGCCAAAGAATCCAGTTCGGCAAGGTTTGCTGACAACTACTACTAGTACTCCAGTGCGCAACAACTCCAATGCAACTGCGCCTTGTTGGAGACAGGGTGGTTTGACGCTAGCGTCGAGCAATTTCTCGAAGGCCTCCGATTTTGATTTTCAGTTGTTCAACTGCATTAGAATTAGGAAGCGTTGTCAATTCAGGCCTGGGGAGCAGAACATATCAATAAAAATACATTGTTTTCCTTTTTCCGTAAAATCTCCTAAGGACGACTCCGAAGCAGTAATCGAGGACTCGGATGAATCGTGCCCCGGCAGTCCTATTTATTGGGTTGCTTGATCTTGCTCAGACTAGCGTGCCTTCTTGGAGCGGCCTTCATTTTGACGGTGTGGAAGCAGGAAAAGAATCATAAGGGGGGATGTTTGCTTGCTGATTGAGCAAGGAATCACAAAAGCCAGAAACGACATAAACGACATCCGCATACATGGAAGATCTGGGATAGAACATGATAAATGAATACGAAAGCGTTTCACTTTTGTCGTTCCGAAGTTTGTTTTTGATCATCCGGCAGTCAACAGCAATTCCGTCTCCCATTTGCAAAGTCCCTGCGAGGTCACAAAATAGCTCTCGCAGACTGTCCTCCATCTCTGTGACCTGACGAGCTGAGCCAAACACGTCCGCGGGTTCATCGGGAGAACATCTGAGATGTAGGACTGACCTCGGTAGAATTGCCTTTCCCTCGTGAATTGCAGACATTGTTCCTGAAACAGACAGAGAGCAGCACCTCTCTTTTGTGTGCATGTGTGTGCGCATAAGGTCCCCGGCAGCCTGTCTATCTCTCAGGGATGGTGCCGAGAGCTCATCATGATGAACCTCTTGGGAGATGACACCGTGTCATGGCAACACGAGACTTACAAGAGACAGAAGAAAAAGGCCTGCAAAGCAGAAGAACTATAGCAGATGGATCCGACTGGTCGAAGGCTTCGAAATATTTTTTATGTTTTGATTTTGAACCCATTAAGATTATATATTCCATTAAGTCACTAAGCATCCTTTTCAGAGACCCTCGCCTTAGAGCTTAGGTTACGGTGGCGCCTGATACGGCTTTGGGAAGCCTGTTTGCTGATTCATCAGAACTCGGATGTGCCCTGAAAATTTTGTTTGAACACAACATCAAGGGTGTTGTGAAGGTTGGGAGGCATGCTTCGAGTTTTCTTTGCCGGGTCATGTTTTCCGCCGGATCAACGAAGTGGTAACCTGACGTCGCAGACAGACCATTGAACTATTGTGTATGGTTGTGACAAGATTGTGTTTGTGCCCATAGATGTTCAAAGGAAACTATACCCACTTCTTGGTCTACACAGCTTCAAGCCTGGTGGAACAGAGTACACCATATGCCTTGGAAGTGTTTGATGAATTTGCCAGCGTGCCCTGATTGGATTCAGTAGTTGGGATGGGCAAGAGTGGGAAGAGATGTTGGGTGGACTTGTGATCCCTTTGATGAATCTTACTGGACTTTACACATGCGTTGGACCTACTAGGCAGAAGCTGTTCTTTGAGTCCAGAACTGCAGGCGTTTGCCGCAAGTTGAAGCGAACCTTTTGTTGCTTGTCGACCCCTCACTGAATCCCTAACTGGTCTTTGAGAAGGGTTGAAAAGGTGAAGGTTCCCAAAGGCTCTTGAAACCCTGCGAAGAACCCAAGCCATTATGCGTCCCAGCATCCTAGTGACTTCTTGAACCGTTTTGAGTCGCTAGGACAGCTTACCTTTTGACTTCTTAAGAACTTACCAATCCCTCAAGCCCTGATGCCGCCAGGCTGTCAAACCTGAGGTCTCCAACATGAGCTTTGTGGATTTGGATTTGGATCTTGGCGAACTGGGAGGGAACATCTCCTGGTCCGAGCCCCTCCTGGTCCGCCGGGCGGGGGAGCTCGGAAAAAACTCGGAGGCGGCTGTAAAAAAACATCAAGGCGCATGCAAAAGCATATTTGTTGGCACGGACAAACACATGTCACAACAAGAACATACAAGAAACAACACTACGAACTGCCACTGCCGCAATCAACAACGGATTTTGTGTTGAGGTCCAGGATTATCTCATCTACTTGGCAGAAGATGCTCAGGGTCTCGGGAGGCCGAACAGTCAGGAACGCCTCGAACATCCTCGAATTTTGAGCTTTGTTTGTTTCAAACTTCCACTGACATCCACTATCAATCAATGACCCCAAACCTCTCAACCTGGGTATGCGGTATGCAATGGTATGCATGTTGCTAACAAATCTCCACCCGATGTATGTGAGTCTCCTGCATTGACCCAAGTCTGCGCTGTTGACAGGTCGCAGGTAGATCTGGTGCCTCAGGGACAGACACTCACATTGCTTCCGCCCGAGACAGCCATGATGAATTTCAGTTTTGTGTTCCTTGGCCAGTATGTGACAACATGTACAGCAGTATTGCCGGACGTTCCCACTTGGACTGTACCTGCAATAGACTCTACTGTGATGAGTTCGGTTGTGCAGTACCTTCTTCACAGTTGCAATTTGTGTCCGCAGAGACCTGGAGGAAGTCCCACCAAGATCTTTAGGCGCCTTAGCAAAGTGTCAATTCGCATTCCAAGCAGGTTGGAGGCCATCGCTATTAGGTTGGAGGCCATCGCTTCTAGGTTGGAGGCCATCGCTTCTTGGTTGGAGGCTTGTAGGTTGGAGGCCATTGCTATTGTTTCTTTTGAACATCCAAGGCTCATCTATGCTCGTTCAGCCTTGGCCGAGCAGACTACCCCGAGCTATTTGGCCTTGGTAGATGAAGCACCAGTGGTCTTCAACATCAGCTTGGAAGATCTGGCATTTCAGCCGCAGAAAGTGCAGTCGTTTGCGGTCCTTTAACGTGCCAGGCGACATAGAGTGACGGTTGATCAGACACATAAGAGGATAGCAGACAGTTTGATTGATACTGTGACCACAAGCACACTAGTGGATTAAGACGACACATTGAATGTGTAGGGTATAATGACAATGGGTATAATATTATGGTATATTAATGCAATGGTGAGTCAATGGTGAGCCTAGATTAGCTGGCAAGTCACTGCAAGTCGTTGCAAGTTTCTTATCACCTTGGCTGGCCGTAGGATTTGGATGCCAATGACTTGGGTGGCACAATCTCGTGGGAAACCAGCGATGACCGCCTGGTCCGAGACTATGCCAGAAGCTGAGCTTTCAGGATACAGTGGTGCTCTGAGCCCTGAAAGATTCCTTTCAACTCGAACACCATGCGGACCATGCTGAGTTGCTCTTCAATTGCTTTGTGGAAACCTGCAGCAAAAGCTTGTTTCGAATCAACATAATCAACATCCCAAAGGTTTGCCGCTTGGGAGTTTTGCAATCTTTTTCCTGCTTTCTATTCAGCATCCCCAGTCTTCCATGTCAGTAAGCTCAGCGGGCCACTGACAGTCAGTTTCAAACGAACCCAAATCACCTCTGGCTGACAGTTGCATGTTGCAGCAAGTCTTGTGGTGTAATCGCGCGACCCTGCCTTTTGCCAGAGGTCTTTTACTTTGCACAGCCAGCAACAGCTAGCTGTGCCGATGTCCAAGCAGTTGCCCATGTCGCGGCCAAGACCCTGGTCAATGGATGTTTGATTTGCCTTCCTTGTGTATAGTGTAAACTAAACTAAGCTCAGAACTGCACCAAACTTCTCCACCTGAGGTTGTGATTGGCTCCATGAGCTTTGGCCTCGAAGGCGTTGATCCATGGCAGGCGCTTTTTTGTTCAACCTTAGTTTGAAGGATATTATGACAATTTATGTCAGATGATCAATGATGATCAATGATCATGACATCATGTTATGCGGTGTCAGAAGCTTGAAATGGATTTGAGCGAACCAGACTATGCAAGCTGGTTGAAGCTGCTTCCACGGCAATTGGCATGCTGCAGGTAGACAGTGTGATCCATTCTGCGCTTGCTGCGGCCCTCAATCTGGGCACGGATCAGGTGTTTGTCCGCAGAAGGCCCAAAGCCGAGCCAAGTCAACGTTCTTTGAAACGTTGCGGGACACAGTCCCTGTTCATACCAGATCTCACTTCGATCCTTTGCAAGAAGAAGCGCTTGGATTTCCCAAGTTTCACCAATGGGATGCCATGGGGAAAAACTCATCCAACTTCAGATCATCCTTCTTCGCACCGTCAAAGATCTTCGAAATGAAGAGGGATCAACCCCCACATCAAGGTGATTGTTTTTCCATTCGAGAAGTTCGAGCAACCTTTCATCCGAGTTGTGCGCAGGGAGACAGGACGAAGGTTGGAGGAGTCGCGCTGGCTGCCGATTTGGAATCTGGAATTCCAGGCCGGTGGCACATCATGGGATTTGCTTATGGACTCATGTGGACTCTTTGAACATCTGAAAACTGCAATGGAGACAAGCTCCAGGGTCAAAGTAGTGTGGTTCGCAGAATCTGCTCCAACCCGTGTCAGTTTTTTTCTGTACGTAATGGATAATATAACTACATATATTTACAAGGTAATGAAGGAGCCAACCAGAGCTGACGGGAGCTGCCATTGTTTGTTGGGAGGTTCTACTTCCACCCTCAGAGATTCCAGATGACTTCGACAGCGAGTTGACGAGGAGGTTGCAATCTCTCGCTTCTTGGAAGGCGATCAATCAAATCCTCAGTCCTCATGATATACTCTATATATAACTAGTTGGAGTGTTGCAAAGGAGATTATTGTGTTTTGCTCATCACACTCATGTGCGTAGGACTCATGATGCTCAATATGAGGTTCAATGTGCGAACACGAGCGATATATATATATATATCAAGGGATACTGCATATGATATATCAGCTTGTTTTGCTTCTACTCAAGACTCAAGGGACTTTTGGAAGGACATTGATTGGCCCCCTTTGCCCACCACTTGTGGAACGCCTGCCAAGGATTCTGCATTGGTGGCGTCTGCGACTGCTTTGACTATTACGACCGAGCAAGTTCAAAAGGCGTTTGCTGCTCATTGCTTGTCGCAGTTCTGTTGTTCAATAACCAACCCCCCTGGTTCTTCTGAAAGCTACAAGCATGTTTCTTCTCCTACCATTTTTCAAGGCAAGCAGAGTATCCGGAAGAGCAGTCTTTCGAGGTTTCAACAACCAGAGACAAAGATCGAAGGATTGATTTGATGTAGGTGCTCTATATCAGTTTCTTCCATTTTCTGCCGCAGCTTGGATTTGCAATCTTGAGCAGGTGCCCTTAGAGATGGCAGATCTTCATCCTTCTGGACGACGGTTGATGTCCACGAGCTCTCCGAGCCTATGTCGATCCTTCCTGAAGATGGTGCCTTGCAAAAGAAATGGACTACCTTGACTGACTAACTCTTTTCTGCGAGTTTGCATGTGGAGAGAGCAGGATTAGTCTGAGAGCGGGAAGCCAAGCTATTGGTTGGACAAAGCTTTCCAACACCTCCTGGTACTTTGTGCTGGTTGTATCTGGTTGTATAATGATGTAAGCCTAGCAGACTGCTTTTTCCGTGCGCCTAGTCCTGCTCTTTGCTATAGTACCGTAGTACGCAGTCTTGCATGAAAAGCTCTAGAAAGCTTCAAGTCCCTTGTTCCAGAAAATGCTCCACCGAAAAAGAGGCTCCCTTTCGCTAAGTCGCTCTATCCACCTAAGGTCCAAGCACCTGGTAGTGACTACCAGCTCCCAGCTGAGACGCCACTGGAAAACTATACCCACCTGCTGGTGTACTTGTATCTTGGCCTGCCTTGGCTTTCATTGCTTGAACAGATCTGCCAGGAGGATCCACAAACCAGAAACCGCGATTGGAACAAGATTGGGGTCCCTTTTCTTGAGGAACAAAACATTGTGAGTCAGGCGGTCGAGCTTGGTGGAACAATCCACACCCTTTGCTCATCTGATCGTGGACGTTTTTGCAACTTGGGTACAACAGCACAGACATGCCGACATGACATGTCTTTGTTTTGCAGACTCGCATGGGCCTAAATTTCGTTGCATTTCGATAGTCTCGGGGTCAGATTGAAGTGCTTTGTGGTAGCAGCTATTGCATCCGGTGTGGATTGACCTTCGAAGAAGCTCAAGCTGATGAACATCATTAAAAATACTGACAAATTATGGCATCCTCGTCACCGGTCCCGCTTGAATATGCATAAAAAATACACCTGCGGAATATCGCGAAAGGGTTTACCTAATGGGCAGGGATGCCTACAGTGCATGTGTGATTGCACATTTCTTTCATTTGGAACTCAGCTGTAGAGGGAGATGGAAGAAGGTTCCACGTTGCCCTTGCAGTTCCGCATTTCTCGAGGCCAGTGTGTCCCAGATCTCGTTTGTTGATTTGGACTTGGACTTGGAGCAATTTGGTGGACACTTGGCAAGAAAGGTTGCGCCCCGCAACGCCCCACGGGTCCAATGGACTGCAAAAAATGACCCGACTAGGTACATCAGGGATCTGCCACATGTTGCCCAGAGGAAGACATGATGACAGCAGTAGAGGCATCAACTGAAATGCGGAGCCACCCTAAATGCTATCAATGTAGACCTGCCAGTGTGTAGTGCACAAACACCTGAGGTACAATTTCTTGGTCTGAACCAGTGGACACAGCGGCAGTGCAGTCATATCAGATTTATTTCAACAATTCCAATGGTGCCTTGGCTGGTGAACTTCCTTGTCTTCTGGATTTTCACCGTCGGGAATCAGCTCACTTTGACTTTTCTAACGCCATCCGGGTTTGGTATCTTGACAGGGATTCAATTCATTCGATTATGCTGTCGGTCATTGTCGGCTCAACCCAGGCCGTAGGCACATCAACACTTTCAGCCCTGGCACCTCTGACTTCGCATTGCCTGCGGACACTGCTTATGAAGGCATTTGGATGGAGGAGGTTTTGCAATGAAAGCTCGGAGCATGTCCAGTACCTGCCTTACCCCGCGTATATCCCCGCTAAGAGAAAAAGAGTGTGAGGAGACCTATTCACGCATATGAGTCCGTTTCGCTCACGTTCAATGTGGAGTGCGACCCCGCTGCCAGTGCAATCGTTTGCTCCTTTATGCCATTTTAAAGTTCCGCTCGATGTTCCTTTGAAGGTGGAGATCTCCTCATTTATACCGAGTCCAGCCTTGCGGAGCAGACGACTCCGGTGTCTTTAGGCCTCTCCGATACGCTGGCTGCAGGGCACCCAGTGGACCCATCGCCACGAAGGAACCTTCTTGAATCATCTTATTTTGACGTATCTAAACATAGAAGCTACTAGGCTACTTTGGGCCTCCTGGCATCGCTACTAGGAGCAAGGACGCTACTCGGGGCTCCTGGCCGTACTACTAGGAGCAAGTAGCCACTAGTAACAAGAAGTTACTAGGGGCTCCTCCAGACGTACCTAACAACATGATTCACCACTTTCGGCTAGTCTTGCCCAGTACAACTACCTTCCCCGCACTAGCAGAACAGCCTGTTCTGCATACGAAAGCTGGCCTATTCCAAGGCCATCGGCAATGCCAGCTTCCCCGATTTTGATCTTGATGCCTATGACCTCGGTGGCCAACTCGTTTGGGATCCACCTCAAGGGGACCTGTTCCTCGATAGCATCCAGATGTCATTTTTGGCCATGCATTGCCTTGGGCTTGCCTAGTAGCACAATTGCGTGCCGGTTGCATCCCACCAACTACTTTGCTCCCCTTGCTTGATTTTTGGCCCAGGTCGAAGGTGACGCACTACATGATCTACATGGCCAGGCGCGACCCATAGAGACTGGAGGACTTGTTGAGTCTTTGGATTTGCAATCCGATTTCAAGCTCGGCGAATCTCCTATAAATGTCTAGAGATGTCTATAGAGTGTGTATAATTAGGATGATGGGTCAAACAAGAGCTGAGCAGTTTTCTTTGCACCAGCATTTGACCGCCCAATACGCTTGTGAGGGAATCGGGTCAGGTACTTCACAGGGGAGAACGATACAGAGTCTTGTGATGATGGCACTGCAGCTGGGAATGCATTGGAAGTTGATAACCGGTGTAATATGTCTAAACATGTCTATATGATTCTATATGAATGCACCTCCTCAGCTTTCCAGAGGATGTGTGATGAACCCTTTAGCCGAAGCCTCTGGAAGCAGCCACCGTGAGCTTCAGGTATAGCATGTGGGCAAATCGATAGAAAAACAGGATCATGCAGGTCGAAAGATCGGTTTGCCCAGGATTCTTTCATTTCTGCTTTCTGTTCACCTGCAGGTCTTCGATTTCTCTGAAAGATGAGGGCCCCATGTCCTCCTTGTTCCAACATCCCATCTCCGAGGCGGTGGAGCTGGCGGCCTCCATTCGAGGCTCCATGTCCTTTCAGCTACCGGGATCTTCGGCGCAGGCGAGGGACCTGGGTCTGGGTCGAAATCGACCTGGAGATGCTTGGAATTCCCCAGGTGTTGAACGGTGAAATCAGAAATGCGTAAAGAATTCACTTCTACTGTGCAAATTTGGCTGAAACTACACATGTGATTCAGGTGCTGCAGTTCTTTGCCCCTTCATCTCCGGACCTTCAGTAACTCATAGTAACTCATGGACCCCCAGGTGGAAGCAGCAGTACGTGCTACGTTGTTATCGGCCTTCCCTGGTCGAGACCTTGGAGATGATTGGAATTTAGACAACTTTTGTTGGACAACATCTGTTCAGACGACTTTTGCATGACACTCACTACGAACTGACACAAATGGCTCCAGCAAGTTCGGCTTTACACGCAAGTAGTGCCAGAGCAAACTTCCAACTGCCAACTAGCCATGGGAAATCCGACTTTGACCGAAGATGCCGTGAACACCGGTGCAGTTGCATGGGTTCTGACCTCGGCAGCCTTGGTGTTCTTGATGACCGCTGGGCTCGGCTTCTTCTATGGTGGCTTGGTGCGCGATACGAATGTAATCAACACTATGATGATGAGTGTGGCTTCCATGGCCATCGTGTGCCTCACTTGGGTGGTTTTTGGATTTTCTTGGGCCTTCGGAGACAATGGGGCCACTGGCTTCGGGATGTTCGTGGGTAACTTTGACTACAGCCTGTGGACAAATCTGGACATGAAGATGTGGGGTGACTCTGGGCTTCCTGGCCTTTGCTTTGCAGCTTTCCAGATGACCTTTGCCATCATCGCATCCGCAATCATCTCGGGCTCTTTGGTGGAGCGAATGCGCTTCAGCGCATATTCGGTCATGTTGGCCTTGTGGTCCTTGCTGATCTATGCTCCACTTTGCCATTGGGTTTGGGGCCCTGGTGGCTGGATTGCGGAGATGGGCGCTCTCCTCAGCTGTCTCATTATTTGGTGTATGCAAGTTCTCACATGAGTTTGAACATGTGCAAGAACATGCAAGAGCACCCAATCTCAAATGTGCACACAGAAGGAACCAAGCAGTGAATGTATGACGGTTTTCAAAAAACCCGCCCATAATTCCACCAACACAGCAAGAGATACCATTACCTGCTTTAGTAATATCTTAGTTCAGGGGCGGCCGCATATTGATCTACAAGGCGTTTCCTTTTGAACACCCAGGAGAAAGTAAACGGAAACTTGGAAGTACTACGTATAGTATATATATATAGTATATAGTATATAGTATATAATATAGTAGCCTGAAGACCTCAAGCTGTGGCAAGCCAGACCCCAGGTTGGGCAGCTTTAAAGAGCAATGATTCTTCACAGTCAACAGTTACACACAGGCCGCGGCGCGATAGTTGTGGCTGCTACATGAATCAGAAAATGATAGCGCATGGGAATTGATCCAAAGCCCATTGATGTTTTGATATTTTTTGTAAAGGGTGAGCTCCGAGATGTTTTCGACTTAGACGTCTGCAAAAGACTTGCGAACGGGCGTGCAAGCGTACCTGCATTTTCCTTCGGTGCATGTGCACTGCGCAAGGGCGAAACCTGGCGGGTGGTTCTATTTTTTCCAGCGCCCTTTACTTGAGCAGCGTTCAAAATCTCTATGAAATAACCACATGATGCGATTGAAATGCAAGACTGCCGTGCAAGAAAAAGTCTGCACACAGTAAGGATTGCGTAAGGTTTGGTGGAAGCAAGGTTAGGTTAAGCAGCAGTTTAGAGTCTTCTAGTCACACTGGACTGCTACCTTACTTTGTAAAGTGTTTTGCTGAGAAACACTGCTAGCAGAAGAGGGTTGCGGACTCAATCTCTCAAAGGCACTCCTTGGACAAGTTAGCAATTCCCATGTCTGCAGGGGTTGAGTGGCCCTAGACCACACAATTTCCGCAGAAGGGTTTGCGTAGTTGCGTAGGCGAACTTCTCAGATGAAGCCCTCTGCCCACGTCCGCCAAAAGTTTCAAAGAAACACCAAAGCAAGCAGCTGCATGGGGAAAGCACTTTTCAAGCACAGCCCGGTTCACCCTGGCTACGCCTGCTTGGTCCCCATGGCTGGCAAAAAGAAGCAGTAGGCTTCAAGTGCATTATACAAGAGCAAAGTGTCAAAAAAGAATGCTTCAACTGCTCTGGTGAAAACGCCAGTAACGAGTAAAACGCCAGTAGCGATTGCAACGCTTAAGAAACACGTACGCCCCAAGATAAAATACATCACCGCGTAAGCGAAAACATCGGTAGTGTAAGCATTGCGGAAGCTGACGTGTAAGCAAAGAAGGATTACAAGGCCAAGACCAAAAGGGTTTTGACCACCGCTCACTTGGGGTCGGCCCGACCAATTTGTTCTACTTCTCCAGTCTTCTCCTTCGCGTTTCTATTTTGGGGCCACTTGTGCGCAAGACGTCCTCAAGGCCACTTGGCTCAATGTAGTTCAGGGTGCAATGGCAAACAAAATCAGTGCCGCAACAATTATATTATATGTTTAATATATATTATGTATTTAGTTAAATTTATACTTTATTTCGAGGCATCCAACACGTACTAGTTAGTTCTTGAGACGAATTCCGTGTGAATTCCGTGTGTTGTTCTGCCAAAGAATCATTAAGGCGCGCTCGACTTTGCTGGCGGAACTGTTGTCCACATCAGCTCCGGTGTGTCTGGTCTTGTTGCCGGTGCCATCGTGGGGCCTCGAAGGCATGTGGAGAAGGAACTGGGCCCCGCCAATGCACCCTTCGTGATTTTGGGTGGCAGTCTCCTGTGGTTTGGCTGGTTGGGATTCAACGGTGGATCTGCTTTGTCAGTGAGTGACGGTGTGGCAGCCCGCGCCGTGGCCACCACTTTTGTGGCTGCGGCTTCATCCATGCTGACCTGGTTGGTGCTTGAGCGTTTGCTCAAAGGCAAATCCTCCAGTGTGGGAGCTTCTGTGGGAGCTGTGGCCGGCCTTGTGTGCATCACCCCTGGAGCTGGCTTTGTGACGCCTGGTTGGAGCATTGCCATTGGTGCCTTGGGCGCTGCTTGGTGCTATGTCTCCGTGGAGGTTGTAAACAAGGTCAATTTGGTGGACGACACATTGGACGCATTTGGGTTGCATGGCATGGGTGGCATCGGTGGGGCTATCTTCACTGGCATTTTTGCATTGGATGGTGGCCTGATCTACACTGGCAACTTTAAGCTGTTGGGCAAGCAGATTGCTGGCGCCATGGCAGGTGTGGCCTTCTCAGCGATTGGTACTGCTATCATCGTGGTGGCATTGAAGCTGGTGATGAAGCTGCGAATTCCTGAGGACCAGGAAGTTTCAGGTGTGGACCAGCACACACATGGTGAGACCTACCACAGTCCAGTGAAGCAGTATCCTCAGGCTAAACCTTCTGAGTCCAGTGAGATGACATCCGCGGTGTGATTCTACCAACCTGGCTGAGGTGCTATTTGCATGTTAATTCACTGTCTAGACTTTAAGTACAAAGATGGAGTCTTTGTCAACATCCTTATTTAGGCAAAGACTGAGTGCGTACGTCTTGTTTGGGCTCTACGAAGATGGAGTTCCTCGCTGATGCGCGCTTAGTAGCGTAGCAGCGTGTTTAGTGTTTATGCTGTCCACAAGGATGGATAAGCCGACTAGCACCACTCGCCTGAAATACATGACGAGGCTAGCCTACAGTCTAAGGCCCTAATCCGGCTCTTAGAAGCAGCAAGGGAGCAGCAAGTCATCCATCACACCAAGCATGACTTTGAACATGAATGTCGTGTGCTGCTCATTTGGGGCAGCCACCATGAATGCTGCTGGTTTGTTTTTGACTTGAGGTTTGAGTGAGAGCGCCCTCATCGTCAGCGTCTCGCAACTGACAAGCAGGCGTCTCACAACAAGAGGCTGGGCTTGTAGACAGCTTGAAGAATATTTATAAATGGAGAAAGATGAACGCACAAACTGCAAGGATCCACTGCCCCTCCGGGCATTGCATTTCTGCAGAGTGGTCTTTCAATGGAACCTGAGATAATGTTGCAACGGCAGATACCTGCACCCACAGGCCGGCGCTTGTCGACGATTTGGCACGTGTCGTACCAGGCGGGGCATTGTTGATGAACAACGTGCAGCAAGACTCTTCCAAGGATGTGGTTTTGCAACAGGGCCCAAGATGACCATATTCCAACGACATTTCCAGGATGTGGTTTTCCAATTCCCTCTTTGTCTCTCTCGGTCAGCGAGCCAAAGCTATGATGAAGAAAGAATCTTGAGACCAGGCGACGATGCCCCTGACAGAGGTGGCAGCTGCCACCAGTGACCTGCCACAAACTGCTTTGGATCCACTACGTAATTATATACATTTATTGAGCAAAACATGTTCCATATAACGACTCTGGCTGTCAAATAATACGCTTCATATTTGGCCTGATGTAGGGACGGAGTATCAATTTTGTCGAGTATCAATTTTGTCCATGATGCCCCTGTATGCTTACCAGCACCATGTACGAGACGACACCTTGGGTAACGACTTATGGCAATGAAGTTTCAGTGAAAGAACAGACAGACTTTTGGAAAGGCAAGTGCATTTCAATATGATACACATTGGGAGCCTTCTATCACCAGCACATACCTCAATGGAGGATGACTTCCAGCCGTCATCAAGGCATCATTATGGCCCTGACTCCCTGACAAGTTCTGCTTGGCTGAGGTACTGCCGCATCTTTCAGTGAAGACGCCACGGTGTTTGCCACACTCTTAAAGCCACAGCTCCTAGCAGCTGGCATCTCTAGCGCAGCAACTCGGCCAGTGAAGCTTCTCAAACACAGTACTGAGGAGGCAGTGTAGACTTATAAAGGTGAAGAAATCAAACGAACTCTGACATTTGAATTTCAGCCTTTTGTATACCTAGCTCTGCATTGGCCCAAGCAGAGCTGAAATTCAAATTCAGATTTCTTGACTGGAATTTTGTGTAGCAAATTGCAGGAAGCAGCTTGAATTTCAATACTGCGCGCAACTGAAGATAGTTAGAATTTGATTTTAGCTGTTGTCTTCGTGGACCAGGGGCTTGCATTCTAATTTTAACCTCCAATTTGGTTGAGATGTCGGACAAAATAGTACAAGCAGCTGGGAGCTCACGGCGGCGTAAGCATTGGCGACAGATTGCCGTCCCAGACGTGCCTTTTGGCCAATCATTGCGTGCTGCTGGACAAGCCTGGCTGAAAGAAAGAACGATCACACACAAGACGCTCACTAACTCATCCTTTGAGAAGCAAGTCGTTCTCATTCGTTCTCATAGGGCGATGCCACGCATGTCTAAATTGCTCCCGTCAGTGGTGCTTCGGATGGGCCGATGAAGGAAACTTCGTGTGGAAGAGTCAGGTTCATGTTTTGAGCAGGCAAACGTGTTTGTCGTCAAGGGCACTACGTCAAGGAGTACGCCACACGGTGCACGCCACTGCGTGCTCTGAAGCACATGAAGCGTGAGGACATCAAAGAAGAAATTTGGCCTACCACTGCGCAGCTCAAGAACCAAAGGTGCAAGGCTTTGACTTCTTGCAAGTAGGACGGCTACTCATTTGAGTATAGGTGAGCTCGAGGCTCTTGCTTGTCAACCACCTCATGTTGAGATTTTGTTTGACCACGTGGTGTGCACTTTTGACTGCGTTCTTGTACCTTTCTGCTTGAGATCGGATGAGATCGACAAGGTGTGGATGGAGAGTAACATGCCCACTTGCTTCCTTTTGCTTGAGCCAGACCCGCCGGTGGACAATGTATATTTACAGACTGTTCATGCTACCATGCAGTTGCTTCAGCGTGGCAAGAACAAAATCTTGACATTTGATGGCACAGATGCTTGGAGCATGTCGCTCGCTAGAGAAATCTATCTTTCGGAATTTTGTAGGTGTGTTCTCCAGGCATGTGCTGTGCTGTTCTTTCGCCCCTTCCACGTTGTCAGCGGAGACGCTGAAGGCTGCAGAGAGCTTTTGCCTCCCCTGCAGATGCATGGGACCCTCCAATCACAATTGCCTGTTTGAATTGGCGGCATGTCGGAGCAACCGGTTCATCGGCTCCGCAGCCTCCAAACAGAGTGTGCGAAAGATCCGTGAAGATGGAGCCACGTGGAAAAGGCGTTGGTCCGAAAGGTTGAAATTCGATGTTCACCCTCACACTGGTCATGTCACATCCCACACCAAGCAATAGTTGAAATTCACATTTCCACCATTCAGACACTCAATTTCCAGCCACTACCGTGTAGACTTGAACAGTGTGAAGGCCGATCTAAAGAGGACAAAGAGAAGGCGTTTGGATTGCTCTTCTGCGCTGCAGGGTTTTGCTGAATGATTGAGACAGACTTCACCCAGTGTGGCAGCCGGCAATTGAGGTACTGGACACCAGCTTCACAGTCCTCTCGTGACTTTGTTGCAAAATATCCATGCAAGGGTGCTCCATGCAAGGTTCATCAAGGTTCTATGAGAGGTTGCCAACACGACATTGCCTTCGCGTTGCTTTTGGTCGCTGTGTACTTGGTCTGCGCTATAATCACAGAGCAGAGGTTTTCACGTCTCTCCATGGAGATTGTTGACAGCGCCTACCTTGCAGAACACTTTGCGGTGCTCATGGCAGGGGTGGCAGCCCTAGCTGGTAATCGGAGTGCAACAATTCCAGTGAGAAAACCTCACAGTTTTTCAATCCTTTGACTTGCTGCACAAGAAACAACAATGGTCCATTCACTGAAAGTGTCCTCTCCATCGCGAGGGCAACGAGTAGCCGCGTAGCACTCGATGCCATGATGGATCAGGCAAATCAAAGTGACACCTCAGATGCAGACGAGGACGGCTTGCATTCTGCCTGTTGAGCCAAAACAAACCACTCAGAACTTATCAAAAATGGTGGTAGTTCCATGGATCCTTGCGGGATTCCTATTCAAAAGGACTGATCAGTTTGCTCATTAGGCAAGAATGGGCAATATCCGGAAAGCACAATAGCAGGACAGCAGCGATGCTGGGAACCAGACGCGGCGACTGCTTCTTGACTGAAGCTGACAGGATACTAATACTTTCATAATCTTTCATATACTTTTGAGTTGTACTGGAGGGTTGAACTGTGAATTACATGTACATCATGCTACAACGACTTAGAAGTGCGGTGAAGTGCGTCAGGCTCGATGAAATTGAAATCCAGAGGACTGGCCGCCGTATGGATTACATTGCCTCGATCTTCTCGGCAGCTTGGCTTGGGGTCATTGTAGAATTTTCGTCTACAAGTGAGCCACGATCAAAACATGAGAATGCAACTTTAGCGTAGAGGGGTAGGTTTGTGCACAGAACCCTGTAAAACGATAAGTAAGGTCCACAAAACCGATAACCCCAGCACTGTATATTATCAGTATGTAGCGGACTCGCAATACTGTAAAACGAAAAGGTCCAACTCAAAACCGATAATTGTGTTTGTTTAGTTGAAGAAGAACAATATGTTTTGACCGTGGCTCAAATAGAGATTGACGGACATGATCGGTCTTCGAGAAAGCATGAAAGCAACACACGAGGAGTTCCTCTCTTTGGGGACTTTGAGGGATGAGACGTAGCGATGCACTTGTTACTACTAGCTTCTTGTTACTACTCATTTTCCAAGATTCCAAGATCAATATCAGGATGCAAAGAAGCATCGACTAATCAAGGCCAACAGCCTACTGTACCAAGTCAAAGTAGTCAGTAATGGACTGTCAAGGATGGCAAGCGGTTGGATCATAGAAGTGGTAGAATCGGTTCTGTTTGGTTGTAGACCCAAACATTTTCCAGTGGAATTGGATAAGCTTCACCAGTTCCTGCCGAGGTCAGCTTGAGCTGGTGCCGCCGTTTTGCTGGAACTACCACAGCTGGAACCACTGCGATGACTGTGCCGCCAGAGACAGTGTCACGGTGGCAGTTACATCCAGGGGATAGGCAGGTGATGGTAACCACTTCAAGGAGCCAGCTGCGATTTGGTTTCTCTCATACCATGCTCCCTTTGCCAAGTCTTTTCAGGTTCTGGGAAACTACACTCACTATCTCATTTATGCAGCCTCCTCGTTGGCCGAGCAGAGCTTCCCTTTCGCTTTGCTGATCGAAGACACCGATGCGAGTGTCTCTTCTATTCACTTTGACGGGCAGGACTTCCGGATAAACCCATGAAACCCAGACGAAGACAGCACAAGCTTGTGGGATCTTGTGGGAATATAATGGAATATATACTATTATAAGAGATACCAAACAAACACAAGCAAAACATCTTTAGCACTGTTTGACAAACTCGACAGACTCTTTGAATGTCCCACTTCTCTCGGGTGTATGTGGTCAAAGGTGGTCCATGGTTACACCATACGAAGGCTTCAGAGTTGCCAAGTTCAGCAGGACCTTGACTTCTACGATCTGGGTGGAGAACTCTCCTGGCTGGCGCCCAATGACACTGAGCGTGTGGATGCTTACCTTGCTTACCTTGCCTCAGGCAGGGGTGGATGCTTACACGCGCTTGTGACTGCGCTTATCCCGAAAGCGTTGGAGAGGCAACCCCATAAACCCTCGAAACCTTGTACCCAAGCTTTCAAGTTCGAAGTACATCTGGCACCTCCCAAAGCAGAGGGACTTGGCAACTCTGCCAGCTCTACAACGGTGTCCATCCTTTTAACGTAATTCTTCTCCATGTTTATCTTTTTCTCCGGCCGCATGGGATGAAGGTGCCTCAGGCCTTGGACGATCACAGCTGGGAGAAGCACTTCCGCCTGAGGCCAGAGAAGAAGCACAGAAGCTTCCTTTCATTGCCTTGTTGCCCTTGGCTGCTTAGAGACATGAACCATCCGGAAGCAGATCAAAGACAATTTAACAATTCTTAACATTGTTAGCACCAGTCACCAGTGACAATATGTTAGCCTGCTATCGCCTGCTATCCTGTGCCCTTGGAGTTTTAGTTTCTGGCAGGTCTTGAAGCTGCACGTTCCCGCCAATACGCCAAGAGGCAACTTCACGCACTTCACAGTCTTCACGCGCTCGGTGCTTGTAGAACAGAAGCTTGACAGAACCATGGGAGGCCCTAGGCCCATCGAGGGCATGTCACTAATGTGGCAACGAAGACATTATGAGCCACACGAACGCCACAAGATACCAGAACAACCCATGGCATCATGGTGTCACCAATTGGGGCTAGTCCTAAATCATGATGGGAGAAGTGGCGGTGCCAGTGTGACAGCCAAACGCACAGATGATTGGAGGCTTTTGAAGCAGCTTTTGTCCTGGACCGTGGAAAGCTCCACCCCATCAAGACCGATCTAAACATCTCTAAGCTCTAACATGCTATAACATAATGCATATATTCCTTCCGTTCAACTAGGGGCTCCTGGCATCGCTACCAGGAGCAAGGACGCTACTAGGGGCTCCTGGCATCGCTACTAGGAGCAAGAACGCTACTAGGGGCTCCTGGCCGTACTACTAGGAGCAAGGATGCTACTAGGGGCTGCTTGGCTGTACTACTAGGAGCAAGGACGCTACATATTTGCCTCGGGGAATTCTACCTTGACGGTGTGATTGCAGTAGCTGACTCCGACCGGTGTTTGAGGACGACACCTGCCTTCCTGGCAATTCAAGACGAAGCCTCCCGGGCCAACAACGTCTCCTTCGTGGATGATGTTGGCACCTCAGGATCATGGGGGATTGCTTTCACATTGCACATCGCCAAGGCCCTGCAAAACGAAAAGAGGAAAAGGACGAGAATTAGAATGAACCTTATTGGGACTCGGGCCTTAGGGACTAGCGATTTTACACTTTTTATACTATTTCTGGAACTTGGCGGTTATGGACCATGGATGACCATGGTGAATCCATGTTGAAGCACTTGTATGGCAACTTTGGTGAAACCAACGGACGACCTGGGGCCTCGTGGTCGGTGTGGTCACGTCTCTCGCTCGTCCAAACTCCCCTGATTTGAAGGTTTTGGCCAAGAAGGAATTGACATCAACAGAGAAGCCCAGCTGTGTTTTGCTGCCTCAACTGGATCTGTGATTGTTCCAAGGATTTGGATGAAGGTGAGATTGGTGGAAACTTGACATGGCTGGCACCAGAGGACTTCAGCGAGGCCTCAAAAGCCTTATAGGATGGAACGATAATTTGTCATTGAGGAGATCCAGTCTCATCCAAAAGGCAGAAATCTGCATAGGCTGTGAGGACCTGTGAGGACTCAGGGAGGCCCCATCATGGCCCATCTTATGCATCAAGCTCCACTGATGACAGTCGTTTTCAAAGCGACCGATGATCTTCATGGCTCCTGACAGTCGTGCGACCATTGCCCTGTTAGGTGGTGGACTATGTGATCTACATCGCAGAGGCCCTGGCTCCGGAGTCGGAGTGTAAGCGGAGTCAGAGTGTAAAACGGATGTTCATCGGTTCATCTACCATTTTGCAATGTTTTATTTAATTACAGCTGTGTGTCTTTTGTCTTACAATAGCTTTGCGAGTTTAGCGGAATGCAGGTGAACAGTTGCAGATTCCCTTTGTTCAACAGCTCCAAAGACTTGTGGATTCAAGACTGGGTGAGGTTCATTAGTTAGTTTGGACATTTGGGGGCTACACTACGCTGTCGCGAGGTCAAGCAGTCTCCAAAACTATCCAAAACTCACGAATCTCACAATCACGGCAGTCGCATCACAAGTTAATAGTTAAAGCATGTTAAACCAAAAGAAGCATTGTTTTGACTGAAGATACTAGTAACAAGTGCATCGCTATTAGTAACAACTGCATTGCTACTAGTAGCTAGAAGCTACCAGTAAAAAGGTGGGGTAAAGATCAATTGATGTGCTTCAGGATCGCTTTGGGGCGAACCGAAGCCTCCTGGGCAATGTCAGCTTTGACACTTTCAGTCGCTCGGTCGGATAATTTTTTGCAGTCAAGTTCAGCTGAGGTTTGCGAATCTTAATCTTGTACAGGTCAATGTGTTGTTTGTTTTTTGTTTTCGCTTTTTCTTGGGATCAACAAAACGTGACTTCTTCAAAGGGATCTTGGGACACAGACTGGGATGCAGTACGGGGGGAATGGCATGTGAGTGCAAGACATAGCGGTTGTTGAAAGAAGCGTTCTTTTCAAGTACTTGTAGTAGAGTCCCGGACCTGAAAGCTACTAGGACTTAGTAGCTACTAGTAGCGTCCTTGCTCCTAGTAGCGATGCCCTTTGCTCCTGTAGCTTCTTGTTCCTAGTAGTAAGGCCAGGAGCTACTAGTAGCATAGTAGCATCCTTGCTCCTAAGAATGATCAGAATGCTTGTCACATTCTTGTTGCAGGTTTCTTGGTGCCAGAGAACACACCACTGCTCGATCACTCGCACTTGCTGATCTATGCTCGATCAACCTTGGAAGAGACACTCGGACAGTATGGAGTATATGGAGTTCTTGTGCATTTTGCTTGTTGATCCAAGAGTTGTCTTATCACACCGCTGCTCATCTCACCTAGTCATGAAAATCCAACCTCATAGCAAGGCAAAGCACTCCTGCATCTGTGGTGATCATCGAGACTGTGGCCAGTGTGTCGAATATCACCTTTGTGGACCTGGTGTCGTGGCTGTTTGAGCAGGGAAACATAGGGAATCCAAGTGGTGCTCTTTGTGACGTTGGATATTGTTGGATTATCAAGGATATCCTTACAGTGATTACAGGTTTTGCTGCTCATCGACTCTTTTGCTAGCGATCCAGCCGCGGTCCGACTTGAGCGTACTTGGCAGCGAACTTCCAGCCACCTTTGTGATCTTTGTGAATGTAAATCTAACAAGTTCATGCCTCATGCGCATGCTGTCTTGTTTTGACCAACTTGAACGCTCCTGCAGTAGTCAGGAATCCTGTTATATCCTGATTTGGTTTTCACTTATTTCTTGTCAACTGAAAGGGTAGCTCGCACTTGTACTTGTTTGTGTTGGTAGGCCCTTGCTCCTAGTAGCGATGCACTTGTTCCTAGTAGCTTATTGTTTCTATTTCTGTCTTCGGTCCGTCCCAGGATCTCGATGCCGGAGAGTTGGGCGGTCGGATCACCTTCAAAGCACCAGCTTCAGAGCGTGTGGTGAGCTATGTGACCTACTTGGCGACTTGGCGGTTTTGGTGGCGTGAAGAGGATGGGAGTTCAATGCTGCTGAGTTGGTCTTAATTTCCTAATAGTGTCACTTACTTTCTGGTCCCAAGTCACAAATTGCCGCTCAAGATTTGAATGAGTCCCACTCTCAAGCTTTGCGAATCCTTTGGGTCCTGCCATGTCTTGAGACTTGCAGGCCACCTCTTTCATGCCTGTGATGGGTCATAAGCTCAGATCAAACTTGCTGTTCTGACGAAGAGTGCGGGAGTGACAGGCCTTCAAGCGCTTCAAGGTCTGATGTGTTGGACATGAAATGGTCCTCACAAATGCCGATGATGCATAGCTTATCATTGCAAACTGCTTCAGGTCGCTGGGAAATAGAAGAGATGTCACACAGAGTGACCATCGACATTCCCGCAGACACTGCACTCCTGAACTTCTCATATATCTTGGCCTGAGCCTGAAGATGACTGACATTTCAAGGATTGTGTTTGCAAGATGCTCGACGTTTTTGTCCCGATTAACTTGACCAACTCACAGTTTAAATCTGAGGTCTACACTAAATCACTCTTGGCAGAACAAAGCACGCCTGTGGCCTTCACTCTGGAAGATAGCATTGCATCGGCATCTGGTGCCTTGGTCCAAGATCAACTGAGTGCTCAATCTTGAGCCTTGAATTGTAGAGCTTCGCAAACCAGCAATGCTATAAGGGTTTTGATTTAGTTGGCGTTTGTCGTTGTGGCTGCCGGATGTGAAATAGACCTCGGACCTCGCTAAAGACATTGTGCTCCCCCGGCAGTTGATGTGATTGTTTGTGTTTCATCTCTTTTCAAGGAGTGGCTATTCTTCTGCACTCACGTGCCGCCGAACCCGAACCCTAACCACGCTGTTGTTGCTGTTGTTGGTCATCGGTTTTGGTCTCTCTCTCTCTCTCTTGTCAAGCAACAGTCTCAACACTACCAATGAGATAGCTGACACTAGCAGGGGGCTTGAGCTCAAGTCCCAACAGTACAAAGAGGCGCGTGTACAACACTTAGCATTTTATCATGGTAGCGGAGCAGTGATCCTGGAAACATCCAGGGGAGCTCCAACAACAAACAGCAAGCACAACAGGCAGAGCCTTGATCCCAGAACACTGGGGGAGCTCAACAGGCAAAGCAACACATGCAGCTAGAAGCAGCATCAGCAACACCAGGACCAGAGCTAGAACAAGACACCACAGCCTTAGCAACAGCGCGCAGGTTCAAACTCAGATCGCCAACATTCGATGGTAACTATGCAACATTCGCGGAGTGGAAGTACAAATTCACAGCACCCACGGGCTTGATCAGATCGGAAGCAGCAACAATACGACTCACTGACACAGAGCTCATGGCGGTAGCACCAACACAGCAGACGTGAAATACATACATACTCATCAGCACCACCACCGGAGCAGCAGCAACAGTCTGCAGACAACACCAGCATGAGATGCGGCAGGAGATCTTTCGACAGCTTTTGTCAACGGCTCTCAATACCATTGGGAACACGCAGCATCAGCTACCTCACCAAACTTCTCAAGCCGAAGTTCGACGACAACAACAACAACAACTTCTAGGAGTCCTTCACAACATGGGAGGTTGAATTTGCTAGGTTCGAACGAGACAACGGCTCAACACTACCAGAGACAGTCAAGATAGCAGTACTCCTGAACGAAACCACGGGACCTCTACGACAACATCTCCAACTCCTGGCTGGCGCAATTACAACCTATGCACAAATCAGAACAACAATCATGGAATACTACAGAGCAACAACAGCCTTTACAAGTTGGCGCGGCAACCAGGCTCATCTAGCGTAGCAACAAACTATGGTGGAGGACAAGCGCCAATGGTTATCGGAGCCATCAACAAGGGCAAAGGCAAATACAAAGGTAAACCGAACAAAGGAAAAGGGAAAGGAAAACAAGGGAAGGGCTACGGCAACAAAGGGTACAAGAACTGCACAGGCTACGGCGTAGGCAAAGGCAAAGGGAAATACACAACACCTATCGGGTATGGCAACCCGTTCTCTGGCAAAGGCAATTACAATCAGTACCACACAGGAAAAGGAACAGGTGGCAAAGGAAAAGGCAATGGTAAGACAACGCAAGGTTGTTACAGACTGCGAAGGCTGAAACAGAGCCCAATGTCTACTGCAACAGCGCCGGAACCGTCTACATCATGGCATATGTAGACGTAGACGATCTCCTTTTGTAGGAGAACCACAACAAGTACAAGACACGTTCCGTGCTATACAAAAACAACTTCTACTACGTCAAGCAGGAACACTCGCCATGGGACAGACCATCACATTCCTTGGCCGAAACATTACGCATAAAGGAGACCGCTTTGAGATCAGCCTGGCAGACAATTACACAACAACACTTTTACAAGAGATTAACATGGAACAGTGCAACCCGGCTACCACTCCAGGGACGGCGTCCCTGAAAGCAACAGTGGAAGATGACACTCCACTCAACATTGGAGAACACGCGCAATACAGACGAATCGTGGGCAAACTACAATGGATGACATACACCAGACCAGATCTGTGCTACACGACCAAGGAACTAGCCAGATCCCTACAACAGCCAACAGCCAACAGCAAAAAAGAAGGCGAAACACCTTCTACGCTACCGATTTAAAAGGAACGCAACAGTTGACGCGACGCCGCGACACCACAAGTTCGCGATTCAACCAACAATCAGACTAGCCAACAACGACAGCGCCCTAGACCTGGACATCTGTGGACGCCGACTGGGCAGGCTGCCCAACAACACGAAGATCCACCACAGGATTTGCGATCCTTTTCCTCGGGTCACCGACCAACTTTGGCAGTCGAACACAAGCAACAGTAGCACTATCATCAGCAGAGTCAGAACTTTACGCCATCAACACTGGAGCAACAGAAGGACTACATGGCAAGAACTTCACCTGGAATCAGGATTAGCGCACAACCTTAACATGAGAATTCACATAGACAGCAGCAGCGGCAACAGCGTAGCGACACGGGTTGGAGCAAGCAAGAAAGCAAAACACATAGACCTAAAGCACCTCTTCATCCAACGGCTGGTTCACCAAAGGGGTCCTGGTGATCCTGAAGATCGGCGCGCGCGACAACATCGCATACACCCTCACCAAGTACGTGTCAGCCGAAACACCGACGCGCCTGTGCAACGCAGGCCTTCTTGGCCAACACTGAGCCCGACATCAGCATACAGTTTCACCAAATCTCGCGAGCGAACGCATTGTACAGCATATGCGAGCAATCTGTGCACACGCACACACATATATATATATATATAAACACATCCTTTTGAGCTATGGTGCTTCCAACATCGTTGGAACAGCTGGGCTGCAGCAGACGGTGATGCTTCCAACAACGTTGGAATAGCTGGACTGCAGTGGATGGTGATGCTTCCAACAACGTTGGAGCAGCTGGACTGCAGCAGGTGGTGTGGTTCCAACAACTGTTGAAACAGCAGCGAGGTGTCTACAAACTTTTTTTGCGACGTGTCTCTGTGTTTCAAGTTTCAACAAGATGGAAAGTTCGGCCCTAAGTGTGCTCAAGAAGTTGCCAGAACTTGGCAAACCGACGGCGCTTGCCAAAATGGGGAGACCTTCACGACCTTGGGCTGGAGGCGGCCAGGGTTGCCCCAGACCAAAAGGAATATCCAAGGTGCGTCAACCCAGACGATTACCATGTCGCAACGCAGCTGACCAACAAAGAGACGTGGTGGTTGGCGACTACTACGGAAGTCTTTGAGTCCATGGCGAAAGACGCCAACGGAGTTGTTCTCAACATCCCAGAGGGCATTTGATGGGACAAAGCGCTGCTGAGCCAAGGAGACTTTCGTCGTTCTTTTCAGCTTTGAGATGGAAAGATCTCAGCAGCTTCACCGTCTTGGCGCGAAAGCCGTGGAGATCTTCAACCAGTCTTTCCAGAGACCCCAGTTGCAAGTTCAAAGGGGCAGCGCATTGCGGCTGACGCCAAGTGAGATGAGCTATTCTCAGGCATGGAAAATGACGCCAATGGATGGCGACAGAACTGTCTTGGGAAAAAGGGTTCACGTGGAGTTTCAACTTGTGCTTTCAGGTCACTGATGTAACATCAGTGGATGACCCGCTGTTTGCAGCCTTGCAACTGGCCATAGAGTACATGGGCGCAACCGGCTTGATGAATCTCCCTAGCCGTTACGTCAACATGTGTTCAGCCTCCCCGAGAAGCAGCACAGCAGCCGCTGCCACAAGGAATTGCTTCTCTATCCAGCAAGGATGCAAGAACGGCTTCGAGGCAACAAAGCCTCGGCAGAATGGGTCAACGGCTACACCATGGCATGGATGACTGGAGTGGGTGACGAGTGTGAACACTTACCGGACCAGTGAGCAGGAGATCACTTGTGAGAAAGACGACATGGACGAAGAGACTTGGCCAACAGACTGGCACGAGGGCTGAGGCATCCAATCCCTCTGCGACATTGCCAGCAAAGTGGGCAAGGCAACACTGAAAGATGAAACCAACAGAAGCGGACTGAGCGCTTGCAAGCTCTTAAGGTTTTGTTAGGCGCGTCCAACAGTTGTACAGAGTCCAACAGTTTGTTTGGCAGTGTAGAGACTGAGGGACGGTGTGAAGCAACAGTCTCAACACTACCGATGAGATAGCATGAGATAGCTGACACCAACAGGGCCCTTGAGCTCAAGCCCCAATAGTACAAAGAGGCGCGTGTACAACACTTAGAATTTTACAATCTCTCCCTCTCTCTCTCTCTCTCGCCTTCGTTCCTCCCTCTCTCTTCTGGCTAAAACTTGCTCTCCAAAACCTCCTGCTCACTGCCGAACGGACGCCGAACACCAACGTTTCGACATGTTTCGACAACCGCGTCGGACAACTTCAAATGGTAGTGTCCTCTGGCGCGCTCCCCCAGCTGGGTTGGCGGATATATTTACACATTTTTGCACTTTGTCGTTCGTGTCCTTCGTACGTTTCGTGGGCAATGAGGAGTTGCTTTCTACGATCGCGATTTGGATGAAGGAGATGTAGGAGGAGACTTGCACCTTGCACAGCACAGGCTAATACGATCCAGGAAGACTCAAAGGTTTTACGTTGTTCGATGCTGTTCGTACGGACAGTGTTTTGTGGAATCGTTGTCCCATTGAGTCGGTTGGAGTAAGACTTGGTCAGACCTTCCGCGTCGGGGACATTGGGCACATGACGTGCAAAGATGCGCTGTGGGAAAACAGAGCATCAGTTCCGATCGGGACAGACGCACTCCACATCGCTGGTAGGTATTGGTTTCCACCTTCCGACACATCGCTGGTGGACTTTTATGAGATCTATTTTGCTGCTTGTCACAGACTGGATGCATCCTGATGCCATGTGTTTGGGATCAACGGTTTTCACCCAATCAGACATTCAATTGGGAGATTTGGAGCAAGCAGTGAGACTTGAATTACATAAATCTGAGATACTGCATGAAGGAGTTTGTTTGTTTCTACCGTGCATTTTAACATTAGTAGTCTTAAATTATGTTTGTGTTCTCTTCCCAGTTTCATGAGCAAGGTCCCATTCCAAAGGCGGGGAAGTCGCGAATCACAGTCCCTGCTTAGGCAAATGGAACTGCTGGCCATTGGACCAAGCAGCACCAGAGCACTGTCGCTGTTGGGCACCAGAGTGCCTTGTCTGCAAAACTGGCAAAACGATGCAGCGGTGTTCGATTCATTTCTAGCTTTGGGTAGCCAGCCTTTCATCAGGACATGTCGTGTTCAACCAAGAAACACACCAATTGTTTGCGAATCCTGTCCGATCCTGCTTCTCCGCTTTCTGAGGTTTGCATATCCCGGCTGATACGTCATTGATGTCAGTTCCTTGCGCCTGCATGCTGAACCTGGAAGACAGGTTTGCGGAGTGTAGAGGATTATAGTCATGGTTGAGTACACTCTGAGTGAATCCAAAAACATTCTACTCTGAAGCCTCATGTCACATGACTGGAACGCGTGGTGGAGTTTGCATTACAGGATTGGTCGCGGGCATGATCCGGATTCTTTGTTTGGCATGAACCAGAATGTGGTAGCTCGTAGCTGACTTGCTTTAACATCTCAAATTGTTGCACTTGCTCTCCAAGGCTTCTGGTGGTATGCTGACTCACTTGCTGGTCTACACCAGGCCAATCATGCCATGTCTCGCTCGACCCCGATGCCCATCGAAACACTTTGCAAGTTTCTGAGCGCTGAATATGATCAGAGAGATTACACTGGGTAATCTACAATATACACTCATAGAAGATGGAGGCAGCCGTAGCTGACTAGTGTTGGAGGATTCAACATTGGCCCATGTGTAGCTGAGGTTGCTGTTGATATCTAGAAACAAGGATGAAACAAGTGTTTCGATCTCAATGCTTCATAGTTTGGTCCTAGTGCTTCTGGGAGCTGGCTGCTGGAGGTCAAGTTTGGTCGAGCAGAGCACACCAAGTTCTCATTTTATCGCAGATGAATACGCCAGCGTTTCCAACATCTCCTTCACGGAGCCTCGACCAGTATGAGCAAGAGCGAGTCGGCTCTGAAGTTCTCACTGTTATAATTTTCTTAGTATCCCGATGGGTTTCTTACACGGCACGAGTGATGGAATGGCTTGAAATGCAGCTGCACACTGAGTTTTCACCAGTTGATTTTCCAGCATTTAGCATTGCAGGCAAATCGTACATTGTAGAAAAAGGAGCACCCTTTATATAAAGACCTTTTGAGAAGCTTGGTGTTTGCTGCTCCTAGAAGCAAGGACCTGGATTTGGATGCCTCGGAACTTGGTGGTGTTGTGCTGTGGTCGCCCCCGACAAGAATCGCCCTGGTGCCCTGGTTGACAACTTCTGGATGGGTCCAGCACCAAATTGATGCTCCAACTCGAACTATGCTGGCTTTTGGTTGACGGGTAGATCCCAACCACAATTGCAACAGTAGATTGTGTAATTTGACAACAAGTGCCTTACTAGTAGTAACAAGAAGCTAGTAGTAACAAGTGCCACGCTAGTAGTAACAAGTGCCTTACTAGTAGTAACAAGAAGCTAGTAGAAACAAGTGCCACGCTAGTAGTCCAGACCGAGACACTCTGGTTGATCACACCATGATGCGACGGATGAGCATAGATTTTGCATCGATCTCCACTTCTTGATGTTTTGAGTGGTCTCTTTTGAAGGTGGAGAGCATCCATTTGTATCTGGCAGATTCTACAGAGGGCAATTTCAGATCGCAAGTGGGTGACGGAGTTCAAGTACCTTGGAAGATTGTCAAGGGATTTGAATTCTTGTGTATCGTAACATTGAAGACCTTCTGGTGGTGTATTTTATTATTTGTTCCACACTTCTACTGATTGATGGAGCCGGCCTGCAACAATGAATCAGAGAATGGCAGTGGACAGTGGGCAGCATAATTGTATAATTAATGCGGAACCAGTACCGTTGTCCATAGTAACAAGAAGCTACTAGGGCTTAGGGGCTCCTGGCCTTACTACTAGGAGCAAGGACGCTACTAGGGGCTCCTGGCCTTACGGAGCATTCTTACTACTAGTAACAAGAAGCTACTAGGGGCTCCTTTTCAGTGTGACGGTTCCTGCCAACTCTTGCAGGCCAATGCTAGCAGTCTTGACATCCTCTATGATACAAGCCAGGAGAATTTCTCCCACGTGGTGATGTATACCAGGCCCGTTGACCAATCGAATGTGGATCCTTTTCTAGGGTTCTTTGCAGTTCACTCACACTATTGTGCTGTTGTCCACCTCAAGAGGATTGATTCCAGACTGTTTTGAAGTTACTACATTGAAGTAGCTTCCATAGCAAGTAAGACAGGACAGGATGGTTTGATCGTCCGATCTCCGGCACTTTGCATTTGATAGTCCGATGGCTGCCCTGTTGCGGAGGTCCTCTTTGAAGGAGCAAACGACACCTGTGGCTCTCACTCTGTCAGATACCTTTGCCATTGTTCCTGGCAGCATAGTTGTCACAGTGCGTGTGCCAATTTGCAGTACGATGTTCTTGTGGCTACTTTTGATTTGCAAGTTGTGTGTGAAGTGTTGATTGTCCTTGCTGTTTTGGATGGATTGATGCCTCTTTATGTTCTTTCTCATCCAGACATAGCATAATGCAGCCTTTTGAGCTACGAAAGCGCCGCGAGAGGTTTCGAATGTGTCTTTTGTAGACTATGACCTGGATCTGGGAGAGATTGGTGGTCCAATCACTTGGGACGGCAGCGATGTGGCAGATTCCATTCTGCAAAGAGTTGGTTTATTGGACGTGTCCATTCGAATCATTCTTGTTGACGAGCAAGAGGTCCAAGACCTTTGGCCCCGCATCGGGATAGGTCGAAGGTATTCTGAATGTGGCATGCGTCGGTCTTGCATCGTCGCCACTCATGATTGCATTTGTGAAGCTTCTTTGCCTTGGTTCAAGATTGAGGATTGATTTTCATTCGGGTCAAATTGATCAGATCTTTTTCTACACTGACCTTGGGCCGATCTCGCAGTTGGAGGATTTCGACGGTCCAAAACAGGTTTGCTGTCATGCCATGTGATGAATTTGCCCAGGAAGTCACCGGCTATGCAGTCTACTTGGCTCGTGCAGCTCCGGCCCACTGCTTGGTTTGTGCAGCGAAGGTCAAAAGTCAGGAGATTCAAACTGATGGTAGGTAGGGGTGGGTTCACTGATGGATAATGTATGATAACATAACATATGATAACATGTTGTGTCAAAACATGCGTGCCAGCTGTAGAAGTTCTGCAAGATCCAAAACACAGCTGCTGGCGTACCCGATGCAAAAGTCAGAGCTGCTATGAATCCCTGGTATGTTCGAGGCCTTTGGTGAAGCACGCTTCTGTGCTTATGCATGGGAGTCACTGCGTGCCACCGGCGCGGTGATTGAGAACGCCGAGATCCTCGGAAGTGATTCCATGGCAGGCTCCGTGGCCTTGGAAACGGAGAATGTGAAGGATATCGTTTTGGTGCACAGAGGAAACATGAGGAAACCATAGGAAGCCTAGGTGTTTACACAGAGGACCTAGATGTTTACAGTAAAGTTTAAGGCATGGTTATTCCTGTTTGCTCCAAAAAAGATGGACGTTTCTCCCGATCTCACGTGCAACACATGCGTCAGACTAGATTATCCGTAACCTCCGTATATAACCTACCCTCTAGCGCCGGCACCAGGTGAGTGGGCATCGGGGGCCTCTGTCATCTCGGGAAGCTTTCAGCTCACTGCCCTGGGCAACGCTGTGGCCCTCCGCATGGCCACGATGCTTCTTCTCAAAAAACTGCCAGATTGAACTCTACATGCAACATTTTTTCAGCGAGCAACAAATGACAAACAGGACACTGCGCTTTGTCTCCAATGATTTGGAATGTTTGTGGAGAAAAGGTCCTCATCATAGTTGCTCAATGGCTTAGTAGTTGTTAGACTAGTAGCAAGTCACAGGATGAACATCTCCAAGAAGGACATCATGATACTAGTTTTCTAAGTGTGGTGCAAAGAGACAAACCGAGGAGAGCTTCCGTGGCACACCTTCTGAGCATTGATTCCACCAATGTCAGTGCTTCTGTCAATGGTGCTCGACGTTTATCAAGGCAGTCATCGCTTCCCAGACCGTGGTCCTCGATGCCCATTCGATACACTATGCTGAAAGTGGTCCTTGTTCCTAGTAGTAAGGCCAGGAGCCCCTAGTAGCTTCCTTGCTCCTAGTAGCGATGCCCTTTGCTCCTAGTAGCGTCCTCGATGCTGAAAGTGTAGATTTCTTGTGTTAAAATGACCAGTGACCAGTTGCTGCCTCCGTGCAACACTTCTCTCTTGGACAGGCAGCTGAGCAGCGAAACGTCGATGAGTTTTCAAGCGGTTGTGCCGAGCATGTGAGGGAACCAAGTGAAAGAAGCTACTAGGAACGCGGACGCTACTAGGGGCTCCTGACCTTACTACTAGGAGCAAAGACGCTACTAGGGGCTCCTGGCATGGCTACTAGTAACAAGAAGCTACTTATCAGCGCAATCTTTGGTCTCCATGCTGGGACTAGTCACTAGTCAACCTGGTGTACTCAAGGTGTACCCACGATTGAAGAGCATGATCAATCAGTTCATACCATATCATTTCTTGAATCTCTCTCTCTCTCTCTTCTCTCCCACGAAGCTTTCCAGAGGGTTGGTTTGAATTGAGATAATTAGTGGATTGAAAGGATCAGCCTTGTAACATTTGTATGAGATGAAAGTTGATACCACCACGAAACGGCAAGGGCAGGCAAGACTGCTCGTTTTGAAGGAGAAGCTTTGTGGTTTGATTCAAGACTCGCCATGTTTCTTTAAATACCTACTGGTGCTAGTTTGGGTGAGCCAGACAATATCACTTCAGCGATTCATTGCCTCCTCGAAAACAATCGAAAACCGAACAGCCTCAGGTCTTTGACCGCCTCCCTTGACCTCCTGTTGGCTGTTTCAGCAGAGCCGGTACCCTTTGCGGCCATGATGGCGCACTTCCTCTTTGCACTCGGAGTAGATAGGCACCACTTCGCCACTTGTTGTTCTTTGTCGGAATAGCTGCGGTGTCATTAATACGGATTGTTTTCCGAAGCCCATTTGGAATGTCCAACCTTCTGAAGTGAGGACATGCAGCCATGCAGCAGCGCTGTAGACGGACTGGCATACTGATACATACATTTTCAGGAATCCAATATAATAGTGAACTGCAGTGATATGGTCAGGTGCTCCTGGTGTAGATGGTGTAAGTGTAGGACGTGTAGGATGGTAGACATGCTGGACCAGGCACATCAAGGGACTTAGTTGTGCAGCAATGGGTCAAGGCCATGTCGCAGCCTGAAGTGAAGCCACTTACAAGAGTGGCATTCTTTGTGGACAATTACCAGTATGCTAAGAATGGATGGGGCTACTGGCAAGATCTTGCAGGTCGTCATGATGCATGGGATAAAGCGTGCAAACGATTGGAGAAAATGAGTTTCAAATGTGCCATCCCAAGAAAGAATGTTACGGGGGAAGACTTGCGACAGTTGCCGGAAAAGATGGCAGCCGCCCTGCGCAACACACATGGGGCGCTGGGTTTGGCCGGCTATTCTGGGCATGGAATGGTATATAGGGGCCGCCTATATCTCATTCCAACAGACAACCCAGAAACTTTGAAGACACTGCCGCAGGCCTTCACAATCAGCTCAGGATTCACGCTGTTGACATATTTGGGCGCCTTTCTCTATTGCAATTTTTGGTTCTGGGAGTATTCTTGGCTCCTGAGTGGGGCAAGGTTTCTGATGATGGCTGGATTCCTTCGATTCATTCTTTCCAGATTTCCTTCCTGGCTGTTGCTTGCATGGCAGAAACTGACTTGGCATCCACTCTTACAAGCATATTGCCTTGACGAATTGGAGGCTAAGCTAGCTAATGTTCACGACACCCACGGAGCACGATATGCCACCTTTTTTTTGGTGCTGGACTGCTGCCGAGATTGCGGGCGACTGTCATGGTGGCATCAGGTTTTGCTGCGCTTGCAGGCCAGTGAGAAACCAGCAACTGTCAAGCAATCATACAAGAGCAGTCGACCAAACTTCTTCCAAATCTATGCATGTGAAGACGGGCGCCAAGCCTTTGGCTGCCCTGATTCCCACAGTCACTTGATAGAAAGCTTCCTGAAAGCATTGAGTGGTGTTAAACATGGTTGCACATTGGACGACTTGCTCAACCATATCGACGAGAGCATCCGAGCTTCATGTAGTCTTGGTCTGCAGAAGTTCTGCACGTACAGCACATCCTATCGACTTGCAAAACAGATCATTTTCTGGAACGGACTCACCCAGGCCGCCCCTGAAGCCCGACCTACCTTGATGACAAGCATGAGGAAAAGCAAGCTTTTCAGCTTGAAACCTTCAGAACAGCACTTGTTTCAACGCTATCGTCACAGCAGAGATGTGCAAGAACGAAGACAAATCATATCGCTGCCTGCCTTATCTGAAGACCTTCGTGCTTTGTTGCTTGTGCGCAGCCTGGCAGAAAAGAGGTCGGCGACAGGAGCCAAACGTTTCTTGAGCACTGCAGTTTGCTCAAGAGCCATAAAGCGACAAGGTCTAAAACTCCACAATGTGGAGTTGGTGATTTGTGAGGTGAACATGATGCAGGCCAAATTCCTTTGTGATAAATGCCTAGCGCTGTTGGGCCAGGCAATTTTAGCAAGATCTAGGCACCGTGAAGATAGCATTCGGTCAGTTGACCGCAAGATGCGTCGAGTGGACAGCTTGTTAGCCAGAGTATGGAACGTGCTTGATCAGCATTCTGCCGATCCTTATTTGCAGGGGAGAGTGGAAGAAGTTATTGCTGGAAGCATCGCAGTTCACTTGTTTAAGGGGATGCTGTCTGGCCAAAGCTTTTGGCATTCATTGAATGACTTCCATCGCCAAGCATTTGAGTGCTCCGGCCACTTCCAACGGGCTTTGCACGCCTATGCGGAAGGAGCATTGACAAAGGATGCTGCGCGATTAGCCGCCATTTGGCGGCTCTCTGCGATTTTTGCTGCATTGTTTGCCAGGGATAAACCTTGCATTGTGGAGCAGCTTGAACATTTCAACCTTGCCTTGGCGTTCTGCAACACGCACCACCCAAACTATCAGAACCAATGGGTGGTCAAGAGAGTGCTTGCTGTTGCAAATCTTGGGATTCAGGTTGTTCACCCAACCGTAGCTTGATATGTTGAGCTTATTAGTGTTTGTATATAACTAATTCATTAATGCACAGTGTTCGTCAGTGTGCCAACATATTTGCACACTGTGCCATGCTTTTAGTGTTGGCACCCTGCCCTACCGTTGAGAAGCCTTGTAATTAAACTTGAGTGCATCAAGACAGTGCTGCCCTTCGTGATGGCCTTTCTAGAGTAATTTTTCAGTCAGGAGCAACATCACCTTATACAAAAAATTGATTAGTCTTGATTGATCCAAAATCGTATGTAACATATTATGTAGTTTTCCTTGTACTCTCCGCTGGACAACTCGAGCAGCCACAAATGTAGTGATCCAGACCCAAGTTTGGATTCTTTGACCTTTGATTTTGATGGTTTAGGATTGATAACCTTGTCGGCTGCGCTGAACAATGTCAGACAAAGGCTGAACAATGTAGGGGAGTATACTACACTATACAGTATTGCAGATATTTGCACACTGAGTACGACAACAGTTCGGACTGCTTACAAGTTGCAATTCATCAACGGGGGCAACATGGCCAACATCTTAAGTTGCCGCATGTTGCGCGTTCATTTGCACAGAAACAGGTATGTGCATAGGCAGATGGTGACTGGTGCATAGAGAGAGAGAGAGAGATGCACTTTGGCACCTTGCTACAGCATAGGACTTTCAACATGTCTTGTGGGGCTGGTGGCAACGTAGACGTGATAGCTTGTCGCCAACAAATTCTGTGCAATGTCATTCGACCATTTCGGAACCAGTCCAAGAGGCATGTTGGCGTCACAAATCGTTGTGTATTTGAGCGATAGATAGACTGCAGAGGGTCTTGGTAAGACCTTGCTGCGTCCAATTGCTGAAAAGCACAGAAAAGGGGAGGGAGGGATGTTCGAGAAGAACGGACCAGTATGCTTGAACAAGCTTGAACAGATTGAACAGACTTGCAGCAGCGACATGAAGTTGGCTTTGTCTTTAACCTTATTTGTTGGTTGTGCCGCAAGTTTCCTGGCATGGGATGGGACAATCTGGGACACTGTTATTGCATCCAAGCTCTGACAGGGCCATCTCCACAGAAGTGATGATCAGCGGAATGCAGGTGTTCGAGGCTGAACCTGACTGGAAATTGGGGAAATGTTGGGACACGATTCCATGGATTTGGAATGTCAGGAGAAAACCATGAAAGTCATAGTTGATCATTGTTCCGATGTCATGTTTTCAAGGCAACCAGTAGTTAACCATCAGGTGCCCATGAGCCAGTGGATGCCAGAGGAGGGCAATGAAAGCGCAAGGACCTGAGCGAAGAGAACTGCGACTGAAGCTGTTCCATGTTCGTTCCTCCATTTTCCAACAGCAAAGGCTTAAGCTTCCAATTGCTTCGGGGCGCTGAGTGTCAACGGAGAGGTCTAAACATGTCTATGCTATGTATGCCTTACGCAAGCTTGCGTGCCAAACTTGACTTCCGATTCCAACTGTACCTGAAAACCGCATGTTTTCATCTACTTGACACATTCCAAGTGAAACCGTACAGTAGGTGATGTTCTAGCAGCTGGTTTTGCAGTAGGAGCAAGAAGCTACTAGTAGCTCCTGGCCTTACTACTAGTAACGAGAAGCTACTAGTAACAAAGGGCATTGCTACTAGCAGCAAGGGCGCGGGATGCTACTAGTAACGAAGAGCTGTTTGTCGGTGTGACCTCAGGTTTCGGGCCTTTCAGCAGAGAATTTGGGCGTCTCACTACCGACGCAGCTCTTGGCAGTCTGTGAGCGCATCCAGGTGCGTTGCTGCATTTAGTTGTGCGCACAAACATATAACATGTTTGGCGGCACAATGTGCCCAGGTATGTCCATGCAAATACTGTTCGTCGTTTGCATATTGTTTGTAAAGGCAGTAATAAAGCATTTAGATATATTTAGATTGTTCTTTGGGGAAGACTAGTATATAAAGGACTCAGAAGGTGAAATCCAGATTGGATTGGGACTTCTGAGCCTACACTCAAGAACCCCAAGTGTCAGTGACAACGATCAATTCGTATCAACAATTAACTGGTGCAACAATTAACTGGTACAGTGAGCGCCCAGGACCATCCACTCGACCCACACCCACAGCGTAAGCACTCATAAATCCAGCATTGTGTTGCTCACCAGAAAGAAACACATTTACAGAGCCCTGAACGCCTTAGGGGTTTCTTTTTGTACCTTCACATTATAGTGATTATGCAAAATGATCCTAAGGATTACCCTTCAAGACTGCACCTCGACATGATTTCGGTATTGCACCACTTTACTTTTTGATAGAATACAATCCAACCTGTGGTAGTTGGTACTGGACAACTAACAAGCCGCCAATGCGACACGGCAGGTGGCCAACGTCTCGGTTGGCATTGAACAGCTGGATTTGCCTCCAGAGTCCGAGCACCCGGGAGTATGAAACTCCATAAACGTGGGTGTGGGCGAACACTGAGGGAACACCCTGGTCCTGGTTGTTGGTGTTGGGGTGACTACCTGTTTGTTTGACTACATCCCACATGAGGAAAGCAGTGAAGCACGCTAGGATTTCCGAGTTTGGCCCATGAGTTTGTCAGCTTTGACATATTCTGAACTTAAAGCAAGAGTCACAGGTTACCAAACGTGCATCGAAGTCTTAAAACACTTCCAGTTCAAGAACCCGGGCTGATCCGGTCCGTGTGTGAATTTGGCCACGGGTAGAAGTTGCTTCAAACACTTGAACTGCACATTGCTAAGGGCATGCATCGACAACTGCAACACACGTTTCCCTTGACCTGATCTTGTGATCCACGCGTGGGCGTGCAGGTTTGACCTCCAGAACTGGACGCACATTTTGGTCTACAGCGTTGCCAATGGTGCGGAGCAGTCGACACCGGCAGCTTCGCGCATTGAGGACGTGAGCAGTAGTATATCTGCCCTCCGGTTCGTTGACAAGGCCTGGCTGCGGCTTTTGTCAGGAACAGAGCTTGAGAGGGTGGGCTACTGCACCACAGGGTCTTTTTGTGTGATGGGCAGAAACTCAAAGGCAGACATCAAAATTGGCTTGGCAACAAAGAATCTAAAGGTGAAATGATACGTGTTTAGATTCAGAAAGGTTTCAGATGCTTTCTGACAATTTGTGGAGGTGACATTTTTGCTCCCAATTTTACGATTCTTGTGTTCTTCACTTCACTTGTTGCAGGATTTGGATGAAGGTGACCTGGGAGGTCAAGTGCAGTGGGCCGCTCCCAATGATCTCAGGAGAGCATTTTGTCATTTCTTGTCATCATCCAGTGAAAATCAAGAAAGTGTGTAGTGTAGACCAGTTTTGTTCATTCTTGAACAAGAACATGGTCATGGTTTCTCAGATGTTGCTGGCCTTGAACGAGTACGTACATCAAGGGTTTGCATTGATATAGAGAGAGGAAACGGAAGTGTGTGTGTGTGTGTAACCTTTGGAGTCACAAGGTTCCTGTTGGAGTGTTTGGTATGACTTTTGAGCAGGGGGCGACAGAGTCGCTGCATGGCTGTCGCCAACGAAGCTCCATGCAGTTGACTAGGATATCACGGCTGATCATCGTGACGTACCTGCGATGGATTGAACTTTTGAACAAGCTGTCACTCCAATTTTCATAAAGGGCTAACAAGCTTGGCAGACATGAGCGCTCGCCGTCATCTTGTCGATCCGTGCTCGTCGGTTTTGCCTTGAGCTTTCGGCCTCCTTTCCGTTTGAAGACCCCAGGCCCCTGTGTGATTTTACCTGAACTGTTCAGGATTTGGGAACCCAGGTTGGCGTGTGGCAACCGCTTTCGAGTCAGTACGCACTTCTATCAGTGTGTGAAACCCTTGGAGTCACAAGGAATCCTTAGATTTTGCAGGGGAGTGGGAAGCAGAGCCTGATCAGCCCTATGTACCTGCTTGGCTGTGGCGTTGGTAGCTACATCCCAATCTAACCTTCAGGCTGCGGAGGTGGAGGTAGGTCGGCAGACTTTGCACGCTCCCGCCGTCCTTGTGGCTCAATCGACTCTCGACTTGGAACCTGTGGAATCTTAGAAACTTTGATTTCAATTTGGTTGAACGCCACTCCATTTACAACCTCCAGGTTTCATTTACTCCTGTGCTCTTAGGCGTACATACCTAGGTGGGCGTGTGGCATGTGGCCTTCAGTTCCTACGCAATATCTCGAGTGTGTCTGGCTTCATGCCAGCCCAGGGTGTACCCGAGGAGTGTCCCCTGTGGCCCCGTTGAACGGGATTTGTCTCTGATGGCCTTGCCCGGACGGAGTAGGCTTGTGCCATAGCTATGCCAAGACCTGATGGATTACTATAAACGAGTAGGCAGCCTAAGGGCACGCCATGAGGTGTCCACAGTGGACTTGAGTAGGCTTACGCCACGAGGGGGTCGCAGCGACCCTCCATTGGGACCTGTTGCAGCCTTAAATTTACCTGCGCGCTCACGGCGCGCGCATTTTTATATCAGGCTAGGTCTTCGCCTGGTTCACTCTAATGAGGTTTGGTTTCGTTGGTTTACGGCCCCTCCATTTGGTTCCCCCTTTCATCCTTTCTCCTTCGCACACATTTTCTTTCCTTTTTCGTTTCATGTTTTCTTCTCACTCCGTTCTTTCTTTTGCGTGCACAACGGTCCGGCCCTTAGCATGCGCCACGCGTGCACGTCCTTTTAACCCAGGCTTCAGGTCGCCCAGGTCTTGATAATGAGGTATGGTCCACTGGTTGTCCCTGTGCATTTGGTTTCCCTTTCATCGCAACCACACACACTGGTCTTGTTTTGTTTCCTTTTCACGTCGTCGTTCTTTTTTCCTTCTCGGCGCGGACATACGCGCATTTGTTTGCCCCTTAGCCTTTTGGCCCACGCAGGGGCGTGTGGCACTTTCGTCACTCTCGTCCTACCACACGCAGCGAAACTGCGGGCGAGAGAGGGACGCAGGGCCTGATCAGACCTGTGTACCTGCTTGGCTGTGGCGTTGGTAGTTACAGCCCAATCTAACCTTCAGGCTGCGTAGAAGGAGGTAGGTCGGCAGACTTTGCACGCTCTCGCCGTCCTTGTCGCCCGTTTCGACTCTCGACTTGGAACCTGTGGAATCTTGGAAACTTTGATTTCAATTTGGTTGAACCTTAGTTCGCACGTGTGCCCGTACATGAAACTCAGGTCTGAGGTCGCTCAGGATGTTATAAGGAGGGGTAGCTCATCTGGTTGTTCCTGGTCACTTGGTTCCTTGTCAGCACAACCGCATGCATTGTCCTGCTTTGTCTTCCTCTCATGTCTTCTTCGTTTTGTCCTTTGCGCGCGCACACCCACACCTTAGTCTGGACCCTAGCTTTGGATTTTGGCCCCTGTCGACGGGGGGCGTGCGTGTGAAACCCTTGGAGTCACAGGGAACTTGTTGGCTTTAATGTAATTGCAGGGGAGTGGTGCGCAGTCTTGGAGTCACCACTCAACGGGTTGCTTAGGTGGAAGTAGGTCGGCAGACTCTGCACGTCGATCGCTCTTCATGACCTCGAGATTTGTAATTTTGGAACTTTGGCACTGTGATGTCGTTCAAACGGCCAGACCGCCTTATATACTACCGGTTCTACCATGTTCTACCCAGGCAACTTTTTTACTTAGGCGGGCTTGGGGCGATCAGTACGCACTTCCCAAGTGTGTGCGTGTGTCAATGCATGTGAGAGTTTGTCCGAAATCCTTATGAAATCCTTAGACATGATGGGAACTGCTCAAAATTTGTGTGCAGAACATGTTCAAAGCAGTGGAGGAGACTGGAAGCTTACAGAGTGTACTTGACGAAGAACATGGAGCATTCTCTTGTAGGCCTGGTTGTGCCAAAATCCCTCCCCACGGCATTCAAATACTGTTGGCGAAACATAAGTTTCATTCTGGCAGAAACCTTTCCTGGCGAGAGACCAGAACAGTGAAAATTGACTGAATGCTCACTTCATAGACCAATTTGTAGGCCCGTGGCCCCACCCAAGCCCTAGGCCAACCAGACTTGACCCCAACGAACGACTCTCCAGTCATAAGTTGATGAGGTGCGGAGATTCCAGTTGGCACCAACGAGAGATCCATCCCAGCGGATACCATCTCATGGCCTGTGCTGGAAGTTGGGTTCTTAGAATATATGTTCGACCTTGACACAGCCTGACATGTTAAGTTGACAACTGCATTTACCTCGATATCAAGATCTGATGTGTGTTTTGGCATTTTGAGGTCTTCACTAAGTCCCAGTTGGCCGAGCAAAGCACACCAGTCAGTGCTGGCCTAAGAGTGGTGGGTCGACTAATTCCAATCTGTGTGTTTTTTTGTCAATTCAATAGTTCATCAAACACCCTTTGTGCCAACTTGTGGAATCTAGTCACTAGTCTAGTGGATGCATTGTGCTTTGCCAGGTTGTTTTCGCCCTTATACTCAGGTCAAAGTTGACATGCTGCTTCCAATTGTAGATCTAGGGCTTGTCGGTTTGTTTGCTGATTTGTGCACCGTCCTCATTTGCCAGGCCTTGCTATCTCAGATACATCCTCATCTGTCTCGGCCATTGATTTTGTGGATGACGCGCCTTGATCGAAAAAGTTTTGTGAGCTTTTTGTAAACCGCCAATACAATCTATATACTGTAGTCAAAGTGTAAAACCAGTTCAGTCCACTTCACTCCATGTTGCCCATGAACAGTGCAAGCTATGATGCAATATATGGTTATATAATGAATATTATCAAGACCATCAAGAGAAGGAACTTGATGAACACGTTAGCAAATCACCCCAGGCTACTGCACGGCCTGATCCGTTTTGGTCTCTACATGCCTCTACTGCCCCTTACAAATAAGATCAAACAGAATCTGTCAAAAGGGGTTAACTTGGATCTCAAGGATTTGTTGAATCCTCCTAATGGCGATGGCCTCCAACCTACTGGCGATGGCCTCCTACCTGCTAGCGATATGGAAGACATACCTTTTGGATCAATGTTTCATGCCAAGGATTTGGACCTCACAGATCTTGGAGGCCAAGTCTCGTGGGTAGCTCCTGCGGACCGGGCACAAGTGTCACAATACGTGGTCTACCTAGCGGAGGCCTGTCAGGACCGGGAATACGTGCAGTTCTACTGTACTGTTCAGTTCCGTTCTTTTGCGAGAGGAGAGCGTCACCAAGTCACCTGGGCACACCAGTTTTGGTTGTTCCGAATCGTGCCTAATCATGGGCCTAATCTCCCATATCAGCTGCAGATTTCTTGCTGACTTTTCATGAATTGACGTCTGATGTCCGGTGCCAATTTCAACTGGCACCTGTACTGCAAACAAGAAAACAGCCACCTGAGCATGGAGCTGAATAATTGAAACATTTAAGTTAGAATTTATACAGGCTCACGCAGTTTGACTCGTGCTTTGGTGTATTCTCAGGACAGTGTGGTGGCGGAAGTCACAGGATCAATTTCTTTGAGCCTACCGGGTGCTACACAGGAGCAGGTCATCGCGGCTACTTGCCAAGAGCTTTGACCTGGGGTCAGTACAGAGAACAGATGGGAACAGGGTCGGTACGTACATTTGAGGGTTGGAGACATCTAACTAACGAGAGAAGCCATAAAGAACACGAGAGAAGCCATAGGTTGCTGGGATGAGACGGGCGGTAATTGCGGTAATTTCTGGGGTAATACTTACTTCATGAAAGCTGAAGACTGCAGGACTGATTTTCATTATTGTTATTGTAATTTTGCAAGACAAGTGCCAGTCAGTCATCATGTTCTTTGAAGGGGATGTAAAACTAAATCGTTCTTGCTTAAAAGGACTATCATTTACAGTAATCCTAGCTTCTTGTTTTTTGTCAGTGAGGCTGTTAAGACCAGCTTAGCTGCGTCTCTTGGAGTCAGTTTTGTCCTCAGACTGGAAAGGCATGATGAAACTGCCATGTGACACAGAGTGATGGAATCGGTGTGCTTATAGTGTCAGAACTCAAAGTGGTAGAAGCTCTTTTATCACATTTTGACAGTGTCAAGTGCTTCGCAATGTGGAGCCGAGACCTCTTCACTGCAGTCAAACAAGGTGAGGCGACCATTGTTCTCACATCAATTACAGCTGGGCGCCGTTTGAGCACCACTTGGGACATCACCTACAGCCTTTCTGTGGCTTGGTCATGATTTTGCTTGGTCACTCAATCAACTGCAGGAAGTGCTTGCGGATCTTGGGGTTTAAGCAGTTAAACATAGTTCAACTGAGTTTTTGTTGTGCTGCGTCGGTTGAAGCTGGAGCAAGATTGGTGCCTTGTTCAATGCATGACACCTAAGGTCCCAGTTGCCCAGGCCTGCCTGAGTGTTCTGTTGTGTATGTCAACTTCTGAGGTGTTCCAATTCTTGTTCATGGTGACGTCAAGACTGGGTGAGTTTTTTGTTCCCTTCACGGAAGACTTCTGCAGCTTCTGAAGCTTTTGGCTTCACGTTTGGCGTGTTTGGACGGCGAGGCTTCACAGTTGGTGTCGCAAACATCCGCCATTAGCGCTGATGCCAGTGCCTTCTTGTCAACGCTCAGGCAAGCTTAGTAGGTTTGTATATATGTATTTGTTTCTCTAGTTTGAGGGAGTTCCACCCCTCCCCTCAATTCAAGTCAGTCTTGGAAGCAATAAGAGCAAGCATACAAGAACGATTATTTTAGATAGTGTGTATCCTCTAATTTCCTATGTTGGTAGTTGAATACTATAGATAGCAACAAACCATTTACGTAAGGAACTAGATATTGCTTGAAGCTTTTCTCTGAAAAGAACAAGAGGGGCTTCCTATCCAAACTTGTTGGGTCGTCAGGCAGGAGCTGCTGGTTCAAGGCGTTGACAGTGTCTCTGCAGCACTTTGCTCTCCCTGCTCGACTGGTTCTTTTTTGAGTTTTAGCAATGCCGGGCACACTGCCGGGCACATTTAACAGTTAACATTCATGGCCTGTGGACCCCCAAGACCCGCAGAGTTTCCGAACGGTCCATGGTTCGAGTCTTTGGCACAGCTTCAATTTACATCATTACATTTCATTACCCATTCTCTGTTGAAATATGTTGCAATGGTAATGAAGTAAATTGGTCCATTTCTTTTGCTACTGAGGTGTCTCGGTGAATTCCATGGTCCTTCTGTCTTTCCCCACTGCTACTGTGAGAGTTGTGATTGTGGACTCGCCAAGGCCTCAGAAGATCAGCTATTGAGGGCCACGGTGTTCAAATGTGTTCAGTGTGGAGGGAAGGTGTTTTTTGCTTCGCCATGCTTTGCCTTCCGCAACGCAAGGTCTAACACCACTGATGACAGTGATCCTTTGCCAGGCCTCTTCCGCTACAAAAGTACAGATCCAAAGGAGACAGCTTTCAACGCAGCCTGAATTCAGCAAGTGTGGTTGAACAGAATTGCACAAACCAACACTGCTTGCACATCCATGCGATCCTCTGCAGGCTGCATACTTCACAGCTCCCAATGAAAACAGATGAACAAAGAGTGACTGTTAGGAGACCTTGGATCTTATTTCTTTGTAGCCCTACGGTAGCCAATCTACGGGCGTTACAGTAACATAAAGCCTTGAGACCAGACGCAGACCGGGAGCCACGAGCCACGGCCGCACCGACCTGGCAGATGGCAACACCTCCGACGGTGTACGACGCTTGGATCGACGCTTGTCCACATCCCCTGGAGCAGTGCCGCTGTGGATTTGCACCGCAAACCTCTTGGACAATGCCACGGTGGGGAGAATGGGAAGAGAAAGGAGAAGAGAAACAACGAAGCAGAAGAGACTAAGGGGGACACAAGACGCCGCAAGAGACTCAACGAGACCTGAGGGCCCTTTTTTGTGAGACAACTAGTGGGGTTCATAAACTGGCCACTTGAGGGTAAACATTGGTTGCAGGTCAATGAGACTGTCCTGGACATTCCGGCAGACACTGCATTACGCAGCTTGGCTGAACTTCCGCTGTAGCTAGAGACTAGAGAAGAGTTTACGAGGAATCGATGCGAAGTTTGAGCTTTGAGAGGGACATGGCCAATCCAAGAGCTCCGCAAGGAAGATGAACGAAGCCATTCAAACATTTGAGTATGTTGTCACTGAAGCTGAGAGCTGATGAAGTCTACGTGGTTGAAAAGCTTTGGTGTTTTATGAATAGGACACGGGACCAATCATGGCCGCAGCTGTGGAGGTGATACATGTGGCCACTTTATTGCCATTACTGTACTGATTCGCAGATTGACCCGACCCGGTGCTGAGAAAACTTCACCCACCTCATATACACCAGCTCATCATTGGCTGAGCAGACAACGCCTGAGGCGCCTTTTGATTGTGAAACATAGCGATAGAGTCTACAAACCCAGAGTGAACTGAATAGTACTCTCCAAAATCCACAAGGCACTCAACCAGTGTGAGGGATGACGCAAGATGAAGTTGGAACTTGTAGCGATCTATAATGCCACTAGCTCAATCCCTTTTTTGCAGACCTGCCTCAAAAGCACTTCTTTGGCAGGTGCATCTCATCCTTGATGCCTTTGCTTCCGCATCAGGCAAGTTCGGTCTCCTTGAGCAGTTCAAAAACATGCAGACAAACCATAAAGAGCTTTCTTTCACTTTGCAGAACTGAGAAGTTCTCAAAGGGGACATAGTTTGGAAACGCTTGCAAATTGCAGTCAGTTTTCAAGACTGCAGTGACATTGTTCTTTGAGGCCTTGCCTTCCAAGACCTGGACTTAGATCTTGGAGAGTTTGGAGGCGAGGGGATGGGGCAAGCATGCCAAGACTGGATCTTTGGTCGTTGCTGTTTTGCATTGGAGAGTCCTGGTGGCAACGTAGAAAATGGTATCATGAGATGGCACCAGTTATATAGAATGGAAGATAAGCAGATGATGCAAAATATAGGTTCGTATAAGTATGCAAGAAGATAGATTTCAAAACGCAACTTGGGAGGCACAGCCACATGGGTGGAGCCGCAGACCTCTCAGCGGTTGATGGCCTATGCTATTTATTTGGCGGCCACAGAGACAGGAGACCTTTACAGTTGGATGAGCATTCATTCCTCCATTTAAACCACGCATTCCTCTCTCCTGGCAACACATAGGGCTCACCGGAAAGACGTTCAGTTGCAGGGGAGGTGGTTCCATGTCAATGTGCCGTGGTTGGCTTCCAGGAGATCAAAGATCACGGATTGGCTACGGCCTTACCTGACATTCAGGAAAAGAAACACAGTAGTGTGTAGTGTTGTTTGTTTGATGGACAGCCTTCATGCTCACAATTTGGAGGGATAGTTTGTGATCGTCCCTTTTGATTTTTTGTTGCGATGACAATTCTGATAGCTTTTGTCCCTTTTCTCACACATTCCGTGGTGAGTTTTTGTGTGTGTGTGTGTGCGCCTCCTCTCAAGGCTACGATGTCCTGAGAAACACATCCACTCAATTTCTGCCTGCTGAGACGCCTGTGCTGCTTGGAGCATACAATGCAAATAGCTTGGCTTGGTGCATGCTGTGATGAACAAGCTGTATCCTAGAGTGATGCAAAGGTCGTGATACTGTTTCCGGCACACATCTATGCCAATGTATAACGGTAATTTAAGATATTTAAGTTCAAGCCAGTTGCTGTTACCATGAGATCCGGTGAGCACAATCCTGGATGTTCACAGGTCCCACACAAAAGAGCTTTACCCAATTATTAGTGCAAGCGCTTCTTCAAGGAAGCTCCTCCCCGCCTGAGGGCGGGGGGAGCTTCCTTGTGAGCTATCCTGCGTCCATGTGTAGTAGTTAAATAGCTAGTTTAGTAGTGTACTCCCTTAATTATAGTTAAGTACGTGCCTACTACTTCATTAAGTAGGAGCTGGCTTTAACAAATCCCATAAATAGCACTGGTCCATATTTCCATATTCCTGTCACTTAGTTGGGTTGTCAGATGTGAGGTCTACCCACCAATACCTGCTGATTTACACGCGGTCCGTGCTGGCAGAGCAAACTACCCCGGTTGGGTTACCTTTGTCAGATGCCTTTGCAGCGGCTGGGGTCTCAGTTCCTGTTTTACTTGAAGATTTGTTGCGTTGAGAAATCCAAGATTTTTGCAAGTGGTGCTGTATGATGAGGTCTCCAACGTGACAATGCCTGACTTCGACCTAGACTTCAATGACTTAGGAGGTGTTTGGTTCCATCGTTCGTGCATTCAGGTTTGATGGTGGGACAAGCTAGAAGGGTAGAATCCATAGCACAAAGCCTTTCTGTAACGTGCGATCTCCGTGGTCAAGTGTGATATATAGTAGCACTACGCACGGGCCTTATTTGGAGTGTGTAAACTCTTGACTAGTACTTTCGCAGTACAGTCCTGTGAAATCTGCGGGATGTGCTCAAGTGTGATTGGGACCAAAGCGCTGATCCGTGAGGCTTATTGTCGTGGTCACCTGCCTCAGACGAAGACTTGGTGGAAGACTATTTGGTTTACTTCGGAGCCCCTGCAACTTGACGTATGAGGGGCATTTCTACCCTAGTACTAATAAGGTTGGTAGTCGATATGTGGAAGGATGGTTGTGGTTACTTGATTGTAAGGAAGCACTCATGATTCATGATGTATGAGTATGCAACTCAACAAACCGGTGATGACAAGAGCAGCAATTCTGTATCGCATGCTATCATCCAAAACATCACATTCAATGGACGTTTTGCTGCAAGGCGGTCTTGATAAACGGACACTGGATGTGCGCGTCCATGGAGGATGCTTGTGCTGGGCCACCAGATACCGTTGGACTCATTTCTTGACTACTTACCAGATACATTCTGCCTCATTTTGATACTGCTACACATCCAAAATACACTGAAGGCCGTACAGTCAGGTTGCTTCCGGCAGAAGATTTCTTTTTAATTGAAGTGAGCAGTGAGCACCAAGTCACATCCCATGACGGTAGTTTCATCCCAAGTGCATCTCCGCAGGATGGCACCAACGACACCAGCGACGTGAACGGCACGGGGTGGTGTCCAACGCTTTACTTTGGAAGAGTTCCAGTTGGAACCGACGCTCAGCTTGCATCAGAGCGGCTTCTGAAGGCCATTGAAGGCCAAGCTAGGGTGCTAGGGTGCTTGACATCTTGCTGGAGCAGTCATCCGATGCCGATGGCTTGTTTCGGGATATCTCAAGTAATTAGCCGTCCAATGTGATGCGATGCTTTGTGAGAGTCCAATCAGGGCTTACAGATGCTTACAGAGCCGTTGTTTCTGACAGGAAAACATTACTGTGCCTGTGGACACACACTTGGCAGATTCACATTTCTTGGTCTACACAAGGCCTGGGCAAGTGCGCAACAGGGGCATAAAAACGATATCGCTGTTGTCAACCAACACAATATTTTGAAACATGAAAAAGAATTCTCTCGATTACTGTAAGACCCATTGGATTAGATCATGACGTGTTTTTTGTCATCGCTGTTGACCTCCGACAAAGCCTCAGAGATGACGATTGGAGGTCAACACTTGTGGAACAGACTACGCCGGTCGCCCTGCTCATCGACGATGCAACCTGACCACATTCGGAAAACATAAGAGGGAGAGTTGTGTGCGAAAAGCAGACAGGAAAGCTTTTTGACGCACGGTCTACTAAACATCAATACTACAGCAGTATGGACCGAATGATCATGTTAGCAAGCGACCGCCCTACTGACTGTCATTCGCTGGCTGGAACTTCATTATTTTTGACGACAGTGCTAAGGGAATGAGTGTACATTCAAGTAGCTCAAGGGTCATTGGAGTTAGGTTGGTGCAAATGTGCGCAACATCAGCTTCGTTGGAAAGGACGGTATTTGAATGCAATTGAACTGATGGCTGATGACATACTGAACAACTTACGGATTTATTCTGAAATGATGGATTACAATTTAGTGTTCAATACGTTTGTCAATGAGCATACAAGTTTATATCATGTTGTGCCCCCTGAATGAACAAGTACCAAAGTTCAAGCTGCGGGAGGTGGAAAGGGTGTGAATTTCTTTTCGCTTCATGCCCTCTTCAACGTTCATGTGACCATGTGTTTGTTTTGTTTCACCGCTCTTGAACATCTTGAGTCCATACCTCCCTTCATGCCAGGACCTGGACATGCACGACCTTGGTGGCGTTTTGAGCTGGGAACCTCCCGAGACTTTGCGATGGGTCACCAGCACCTCGTTTGAATCAGGTCATCTCGACGCGGAGAATCGATAGAATCGGTTGAGAATCGTATCACGATTGCTACGTAACGACCTCGCTGTTGAGACGTAGTATTTGTACGGTAATTACACTACTGTACGAGTACCCGCTTAGAGCTGACAACGATTCTGGAATGATCCATAATGAATCCATATTACTCCACTCTTGCCTTGCCATTTGTGGCGTTGTCTTTCGTTTTATGCACGAGAATGCGTCCAGCCTCATCCTCATCCTATTCTATTCTTGGTCTGGAATCTGGACCCTAGACATTGCATGACGTTGCTGCATTTGTTCTTCCGAATAGGCCCTGCAGGCTGGAGACTTTTGATGCGTCATCTAAAGTTTAATCAGTTTAATCAGGAGAACAAACAATTGCAAAATTTCAACTTAATTCAGTACACTACTTTCCAACTTTTTGGACGCCGATGATGTGTTGCAACGAGCAATTTTCTTTGCATTCAGAATTGCCATTGTTCTCTGTTCCACGTGAAGACGCCAATGTGCCAGCTCTTTCGGGCTCCCTTGCCAATGTGCCAGCTCCCTTGCTCGGGCTTTGGGCTTTGCCATCCTGTTCAGGTTACTACGTCTATTTGGCTGAGGATGCAGCGGGAAGTGCACGGTCACAGATCCAGCCGATGCTAATGGCAGGCCAATGAGCCAATGACTTCCATTCAGCACAAATCATGGGAGACATAGTCTTGTCATGTCTTGTCAGATGTTGCTGAGTGAGTCCCTGTACGATTGTGTACGTGCTATTTTGAAATGCTGCTTGGATGGAAGGTTTGACAATTGCATAGAAGTCAGACGTGTGATTTCTTTGAAGATGTTGGTGTGGGGTGTTTAGCCACTGCACCAACAAGTGTTAGAGCCATCAATCAGTCCGACCATGTGGAGGTGACAATGACATCGACGTGCCAGCGGAGACGCCACGATTGAACTTCACCCACTTTGTGGTGTATACAGCCTCGATCCTGGCGGAGCAAACCACCCCGTCTTTTCGATGCTTGGTACAACTGGATCCTCCCACTTTGCTGATTTGTTTGAAGACTTCTTTGGATAACAGGGTAAACAGCAGGACGCTCGCCACAGCCCAGGAGCGATCCAAGATGAAGCCTCCCGAGCAGCCAATGTCAGTTTCATTGATGAGGATGTTTGATGTGTGCATGATGGCATCAAGACAAAATTGCAGGTGAAACAATTGCCAGATAATATATCCAGATATCATCAAGAATTGAATATCAACAAGTGTTTCAGCACAAAGACTCCCTGCATTTAGACGCCTCCAAGTAAACTATTCGGGATGTGGTTTCTTGAGAGGACCTGGATGAGTTCGAAGTGGGTGGCCCACTCACATGGTTGGAGCCAGAAGACTTCAGTGAAGTCACCGCTTACAATGTGGCTTGGATGTTCCATTCTTGTTGGACGATCTAGAATCTAGATGTGAGACTGCAGCATGTTCATGCATGTTGAAGATGAGCAGAAGACTCCGAAGACCATGTCATGTTGTTCCATGTTGTTCCATTACTGTTGAAATAGAGCGACTCGGGACGTTCAGTGTCCATATCAACTGAAGGAAACGTGTTGAAGCCACAGATGGAAAACTAGGTTGTCAGCACATGGTTCAGTCATGCTCACTTCAGAGTCGATCTGACATGCACACGCACACGCACACACACAGACTGCGAACATGTTTGATGTCTTTTGGACAAATAGATGGGACCTTGGGTGTAGTACTCTTGCCCTTGTGAAGTTTGAGATTCCTAGGTATACCTTGCAGAGAGCAGAGATGGTCAGAGCCTTTGTTGGTGTTGTGGAAGGATGTGGAAGGAGTGTAGCGGTGTGTAGCAGTCAAAACCAATGACTTGAACGCGAAGTAGCCACGAATTTTGGTCAAGTTCCAAACACTCCTTGAGGTGAAAATCGATCCTTGCTTGGGAACGTTTCAGTTGGTACCAACAGATTCGACACTTGGCGATGCACTCCGCACCTGGCGGGCTGCCAAAGGCCCCAGAGGCTGAAGGCGCAAGACCGATGTCATGAAAACATATGGAAACTGCAAACGGTTCGCTGCCAACAAGTGAGAAACGAAGAGTACAGGTGCAATTTCTTTGGTTTTATCTGAGGATGTGCCGGCTGATACCCAATTGGCGAGCTTTACTCACTTGGTGGTCTTTGCAGAGTCCAGTCTCGTCGAGCAAACCACACCGGCCGCAGTGCGTGCTTCAGCTGTGCAAACAGCTTCCAGGGTAGCGTTTTCTTTGAGGTTTCTTATGCAATGGATTCACTATCAGTTTGAAGCCCTGTTGCTTTTGTCGATCTTATGTCATGGAACTGTTTGAAGACGACTCAATGCAGTAACAGATGTGGTGTTGGGCCTGAAGCACCGGGCACCTGTACCTCTCCACCCAGATTGCAGTCCAGCCCCTAGTAGCGTTCTTGCTCCTAGTAGCGATGCCCTTTGCTCCTAGTAGCGATGCCCTTTGCCCTAGTAGCGAT